CAAAATTATCCTACCTTTACTTGAATGATATGAACCACTTCCTAATATAAAATTCATAATATAAAATTCATAATACACAGCTAAAGAAGCAAGGCAAAAAGGAGAGAAGAAACTTTATAACTCAGCTGAATTTATATCCTGTGGATTAGGATCTTTGTGTGTGAGGCCCGGAAGCAGAGGAGCAGAATGCATTTAACACAGTCCCTCCATGGTGTGGGGCAAATCACAACTGCTCTCTGGGACCTCAGTTCCTTGTATGTAAAATTAGGGGGCTGTTCTAGCTCAGTGGTTACAAAACCAGCTGGGAAGGGTGAGATCAACACACACAGACACACACACTCACATATTCCCACACCTTACCACAGCTCATGGGAAAAGAGCCATGTGAAGGGAGCAAGCAGGAAGCTGTATTTTTAACCAGCTGTGGAAGAGGCAACAGTCATCTGCAAAGGCCACCTGCCTCCTGCAGTCCTACCCTGACCCCAGCTACCCAGTGCCCTTCAGCTTCTCAGCTTCTGCCCAGCTGCCAAGCAGTGTTCTCTCAACTGACACTGGTCTACAACCCTCCACCACTCACACCCATAGGCAAGTAAGCAGCCCACCCAGACTGGTGTACTTTCTTGGCTCTAATTAATAAGGCATTTGATTCCACTAGCACAGTGATGGCGAACCTTTTGAGCTCGGTGTGTCAGCATTTTGAAAAACCCTAACTTAACTCTGGTGCCGTGTCACATATAGAATTTTTTTGATATTTGCCACCATAGTAAAACAAAGACATATTTTTGATATTTATTTATATATTTAAATGCCATTTAACAAAGAAAAATCAACCAAAAAAATGAGTTCGCGTGTCACCTCTGACACACGTGTCATAGGTTCGCCATCACTGCACTAGCATAATGGTTTAAGAGCCAGGTTTTGGAATCAGAGAAACTACTCTGCCACTTACTGTCTGACATTAAGTAAATTTCTTAATCTCCACAAGTCTTACTTTCTTCACCTATAAAATGAGAATAATATTTCATTTTTCTCTGGGTTGTTGTAAAGATATAGTTTCTACCCTGTAAATATCACCACTGTTTTTCTTGCTAGAACTTCAAAGAGAGAAAATTCTCCCAGAAGAAAATAATTTGGAGGGGAAAAATACCCAACAATTTTCAGTTGGATAAACCCATGGTAAAAATATGAGTTCATCCAACTGCAAATCTATATATATAAAAGGCTAAGCAGCCAGTAGGTATGATGCGCACTGACCACCAGGGGGCAGATGCCCAATGCAGGAGCTGCTGAGCGACAACAACTTTGCAGAGTGCCCTTTGCAGAGTGTACACCACAACCCCTCGGGGGATATCGGACTGCTGGTTTTGACCCAATCCCCGCAGGCCAGGCTGAGGGACTCCACCTGCTGGAGGGACCCCACTCACTCCGCAGATGCCCTTTAAGCCCTGGCGCTGCCCCAGGTGTCGCCGGCCGGCCGGGGAAGGACCGTAGGAGGTTGGTTCCAGGGCATGTCCAGCCCATCTTGCCCAGTCCCGCCCTGCCAGCCACCTTCTAATTAATTTCCTTTCAATGTGCACAAATTCATGCACTGGGATATATATATATATATATACTGGATCGAGTATTGAAAGACCTGGGACCTGGTCCCATATCATTGTGTAACCTTGGGCAACTCCCTCAACCTTCCAGAGAGTAAAATAACCTATCATATAGTTTTAAGCTTTTGCTAGTTATCAATCTATTTCTTCTCAAATCTAAATGCATAATTTATTGCTCACTATGTGAAAATGGAACTGGGCTCTTTAAACATCTCTTCTTTGCCAGCTGGCACAATATTAAGATATATCAGTAGAGGGTGCTAGAGAAATACTGCTGAGAGAAAAGATTTCCCCTCCTGGTCACGCTCTGCTTTCTTAGCAGAATTCTGCAGCACCGGGGCCTTCACTGGCACTCAGCTCCTGCAGGAAGCGTGGCTTCCCCGGATCCTGGCTCCTGCAGTGACCAGTGAGTAGGGGCACCCCATGGACAGCAGCTTCCACCAGAATCCTCTCACCCAGGCAGTTTTGCACTTTAGTGCCTCAAGGAAAATAACTTTCTGTGAATAACATTCCCCAGCCACTAGAGGGTGAATTTCCAGCAAGTTCCACTAGTGAGACACCACAGCCACTTCTCTACCATCCAGTGAGCCATAGCAGGGCCTTCAACAAGGTCTGGATCTCAGCCCTAGGCTTGAGGGGACGGTCGCCCTTGGTGCTCTATTTTAGCACTAGGGGTGCTGGCTACTCCTTTAATCTGCTTTTCCTGTCCTCTTAGAACCCTCTTTACTCACCAAACATTGTTATAGCTGATCATTCTTTAAATTAAATGTTTCCTATTTAATACTGTGTAGTTTTATCTTCTGTTTGGGCATTGACTGATACACAGCTTAAGATTCTGACACCCGGAATTACTGATTTCAGAGGTGATGTTATTTGGAATGGGATCATCTAGACTCACTGCTAAGCCTCCCAGAGGGGCATTGTTTCTGAAGTGAGATGTCAGTAGAGAGAAACATGGTTTTTAATAAGAGGATAACTATATTTGAAGGGCAGATAAGCCTTCATTTAGGATGCAAAGGAAATGTGCCTTTTAGAGTCCAAAAGCATCTGAATAACCAAGAGGGGACATTCAAAAGCTTTGATTTGATTCTGCACAGCCAGGAGTTAGCCAAACTGGGAGGTTAAGGGCACAGTCCTCCAGATTACCAAGTCTGACCAAGACTTCTGACACCAACTGAAAGTGTTCCCCAAACCATCCTGGGATTTGATAATTCTCTAGAAATACTCAGAGAACTCACTATTATTCTTAAGGTCATATTTATTACAGAGAAAAGATAGAAAGTAGAACCAGTCAAAGGAATGAAAGCATAGGATAAAGTCTAGGAGCATCAAACATAGCTTCCAGCCATTCTTTCCCAATCAACTTATGGACAGTCAGTGTTACCTCTCCTGGCCATGATGTATGATGATACACAGAAGTATTGCCAACCAGGGCAGTTTACATCAGCTTTGGCATCCAGAGATTTTATTAGGATTCATTACATAAGCTTGATTGATTGAACCATTCCATTGCTCATGTGGTTGAATTCAATTCCAATACCCACTTCCTCCTTGGAGATTGGGCTAACATCATATGGGACAGAGGGGCCCACCCTGAGCCACCTGGATAGCAGGTAGCATAAAACTACCAGGTGAAGGCCAAGGAGCCCATCATGAATAACAAAGATACTCTTGTCACTCAGGAAATTACAAGGGTTTAGAGGTTACCTCCAGGGAATCTGGAACAAAGACCAGACCTCTTTTGGGGAAGGTTAAATTCCTTACTTCACATGCACCAAATACACTGGAGAGTTGAAATTAAAAAGCTATAGTAATTATTATACTAAAACCATATTTTATTGCTTACATAAGGTCAGTCTCACTAAAAGGATAATCGCTTGCATATAAAAAAGAAAAGACAGGCCCTGCTGGTGTGGCTCAGTTGGTTGAGAATCATCCCATGCACCAGGCCTCGGTTGTGGGCTCCATCCCCTTCCTCTCTTAGAAATCAAACTCTATCATAAAAACTCCGTGGTCATGACACTGTCACAGCCTAACAACCAAAGACTGGTCACCAGGAGGCTGCGTGCCTGGCGAGGCGCACGTGGGTGGGCGGGGACTTGACTCTGGGTCCTCAGGGCATGGCGGGAGTCAGTCCGGGTCCCACCAGCGTGGCAGGTCTGGGTCTTGCGTGATATCACACGCTGGGCCTCTAGTAAAAACACATTTTTAAAAGAAGAGGCAGCAGCAAAATGCTATAAGATTTGTTGCCTCATCATTTTTTACCTGTTCTTTTAGCTTTAGGACCCAAGGTTTCATGCAATGGCATAAAAAATTGATTGAGAAGTGAAATTAGTCATATTAAATCCCCATTTCCTTCCTTTTATATAACAACATTTTCATTTATATACACTAGCATGCTTCATCTCGTAGGTTTGCTTCTGAACGCATGAAGAAACCATTCTACGCCTCTTTCATCCCTCCCTAATGCCAGGAAAGGTTAGCAAGCATATCAAAATGTCCCTACCCCATTAGAGTCTGTGGTCCTGTGGTCTCCTCAGTCCTCTTTTTTCTGTTCTAAGTGATTTTATATTTTAAATGATTTAGTTCACTGTTTTACATTTGTACTTATTCAATTACATCAGGGGTGGCTCCAGGGAATTTCAAAAAGGTTATTATTATAGTGAATGGGAAGAGCACCATGCAGGCTGTTTGAAATAGACATAAAATTTTATTTCCATGGTTGCCTTCTTATTCTATTTCTTCCAGCTAAACTGTGCATGGCAAAGGGCAAAACAAAATATAAGTGTAAAGGTGAGTCAGTCAAGGAAAGCAGAATGGCTACCCATAAATTCATGGTAACCAATCTTGGCATAGACTCCACACTCCCAGGCTAACCTTCTAGATTTGTCTGGTCAACTCATTCTTCTGTTATTTTGACCTACTAATCTAACCTCAAAACTTAACTCACCCCTTCTCATCTAAAAAATTAAGCAGAAAATATCACCACTTATTTTACAAAGTATAAGAATGATCTATATCCACGCACATACACACACAAATGCCTTCTCCACTTGCCACCAAATATTCAAATTTGCTCTATATAACAAACTAAACTAACAATGCTTCTCCTTGGTTAAAATGGACATAAAGCCCATTTGCCTATTAGGGGAAGTACCTTCCAAAATTAAAAATCTTTCCCTCAATGCTATATCCTACACCAATTAGCAGCCAGTCTCTCTCCTCAATTTTAATGACAAACTTATATATTAAAAAAAATGAGTCAACTCACCTTGAATTCACTCCTCTAACTACATTAATCTAGAGTGTGTCCTCTATCATTTTATTAAAACAGGGCTCTCAAAACCTTCGGTTGCTAAATCCAGTGGATATTTATAGGCCTTATCTGACTTAACTTCTCAGCATTGAGTCTGCTGACTGCTTCCTTTTTTAAACACTTCTTTCCCCATCATCCTGGGACATAATCATGATACTCTCTTGATTTGGTCACAACTATAGTTGCTCACTTTAAACTCTTTTTCCTTCTTTACATAGCCATTTAATGTTGAAGCTCCTAAATGTTCTATCAAAGGCCCTATTATATTGTCACTTTTCACTCTCTTTCTTAGAACCATTATTTATGCTCATGTCTCCATTGCCCCTAAATGTAGATGACTCCCAAATATATACCTCATGCTTAGATAGCTCCTTTGTACTTCAGCTAAGAATTTGTAATAGGCAACTGGACAAATTGTCTCAGAAATGCTTCAGATATAACACATCCAAATCACACTCATGATTCCCCTTCTTTCACCCAAAATTTTATCCTGAGATGGACCGTGTCTCATCTACTCAATTAAATAAGACAGACATCTGGGGGTTATTCCTGATACCATCTTCCCATATACCTTTTATCCAATTGATCACCAAGTTGAGTCAATTTTATCCCATAAGAATTTCTTAAATATACCTCCCCCCCCCTTTTTAAATCCTCATTGACACATCCAAGTCCATGGCATTAAAATCTCTCTACCAGACATTAACAAATCTCACATGTATCCTTGTCCAAATTTGTACTTCTCACCACCTACCCCAATACATTCACCATGCTATCCACAGGGTGATCTGATGATATCATCTCTCCTTAAAACACTTTAATAGCTTTCTATTTCTCTTAAGATATAGATCAACATTTTGGAGTAGTTCACAGGCTCTTTGTCCTGACCCCTACTAATTCCATTCCTCCCCGCCCCTTGCTTCCTTTGTTTTACAATATTGACCATTTCAATGAATTGAAGTGCCATGCTGCTTCTCATCCTGTGTTCTGCATGAAATGCTTCTTTGCTTTGCCCAGGTAACTCCCAACTTATCTTTAGGTCTGGTTTCTCTCATCACTTTCCCTAGAAAGCCTTCCTGATAATCCTGTCTAGATCAAATCTTCCTATCATATGTTCTCATGCTAACATCTGCATCTCCCTCATTAAATGTATCACCACCACAATGTTATATTTACATATGCAATCTTTTCCTTTTTCTCCCTTATAGGATTTACTAGAGGCCCAGTGCACGAATTGGTGCATGGGTGGGGTCCCTCGGGGTAGCCTGCGGAGATCGAGCTCCAACTCACACCCCCAGGCTCACAGCCCCACAGCCCCACCTGGCACCCTGCCATGGCCTGGTGCCACCCCCTCATTTGCTCCACCATCCTGCCTGTGGGGTGATAAATAGGGGCCAGGCCCCCTGCCCAACTCCCTCAGCGCCTGGGAGCCGGGTGGCGGTCCCACCCCCTGCAGCTACCACTGGTCACTGTCTACTGGACGATCAGAGGGGCGATTGGGCCCCAGCTCGCACCAGCCTTGGCCTGGCGCCACCCGCTCACGTGCTCCACCATCCCACTATGGTCGCTGATGCTGGCCAATGTTCCACGCCAGCCCCTGGTGGTCAGCACATGTCATAGCGAGAGGTCAAACTCCCTGTCTCCTGGTCGAACGACCACCCAAGGGGACAATTTGCTCAGGCTCGCAGCCCCCCAGCCCTGCCTGGCACCCTGCCATGGCCTGGTGCCACCTCCTCACCTGCTCCACCATCCCGCCACAGTCGCCAATGCTCGCCAATGTTCCACACCGGCCCCTGGTGGTCAGCACATGTCATAGCAAGAGGTCAGACTCCCTGTCTCCTGGTCGAAGGACCACCCAAGAGGACAATTTGCATATTAGCCTTTTTATTATATAGGATGGAGGACAGGGCATGTATCAATTTTTTGTACCCCCAGAATCTAGCATACTATCTGGTTAACATTATGTATTTGTTAAGAACATTAATAAATGAAAGAGGTTTTACTAGTTTTTGAAATACAAAAACACAGAGAGCAAACTTTCTGCATTTTAGGGTAACAATTAACCAGTTATAAGGAGGAGGCTATTTGTAAATTTTGTTTTTGCTGTCCTTATTCATCAAAATATGTTCTTCAAGAACTGGGGAAGCCTCAGAGGTGACCCAGATGTGAACTGGGAGGACCGGGCATGTATCAATTTTTTGTACCCCCAGAACCTAGCATACTATCTAGTTAACATGTATTTGTTAAGAACATTAATACATGAAAGAGATTTTACTAGTTTTTGAAATACAAAAACACAGAGAGCAGATTTTCTGCATTTCAGGGTAACATTTAACCAGTTAAGAGGAGGAGGCAATTTGTAAATTTCGTTTTTGCTGCCCTTATTCATCAAAATATCTTCTTCAAGAACTAGGGAAGCCTCAGAGGTGACCCAGATGTGAACTGGGAGGTCAACAAAAAAGAAGGTTAAATAGCAGGTACCTAACCCCTCCCCAGCTCTGTGCTCCATTCAAACCAGATTAACTTTGCTTTTCGCTGTGTTTACATTAGACTTGCATGGAATATTTTCTTTGAATAAATGCCTACTCTTCCTCTTCCCTCAAAACGATTTGAAAATTACTGAACTAGGTAAATATCAACGTACAGTTAAGAAAATTGAAGCCCACGTTAAGTGACTGAAATAACTTCAAGCTGCAGAAATGTCTAATATAAAATCTCTATATTAGAATAAAAAATTTAAAAATTCCCAAGAGGAGGAAAATCCCCTGAAAAAAATATATAGTAGTCCTCTAATAAAGAAAAATTACTCCTTTATTTCTCTTATTTTCTCCTCCTTGGAGAATCATTCCCTTTCCCTCTGGCTGCTGCTGTTATTCTCATAATATTTGCTACATCATCAAAAAATGAACTTCATAGTTTGAATGTGAACATTTCTTTTTGTCTAATGTACTATCTCTATATTAGAATAAAAAAAATTAAAAATTCCCAAGAGGAGGAAAATCCCCTGGAAAAAAATATAGTAGTCATCTAATAACAAAGAAGAATTGCTCCTTTCTTTCTCCTCTTTTCTCCTCCTTGGAGAATTGTTCCCTTTCCCCCTGGCTGCTGCTGTTATTCTTATAGTATTTGCTACATCATCAAGAAATGAACTTCATAGTTTGAATGTGAACATTTCTTTTTGTGACTTTGTAAAAGAGAGCCACTGGTAACTACGTTTCTCAGGCAATTTTTAAAAAATATATATTTTTATTGATTTCAGAGAAGAAAGGAGAGGGAGAGAGAGATAAAAACATCAGTGATGAGAGAAAATCATTGATCAGCTGGCTGCCTCCTGCACACCCCACGCTGGGGATAGAGCCCACAACCTGGGCATGTGCCCTGACAGGGAATCAAACCATGACCTCCTGGTTCATAGGTCAAATTCAACCACTGAGCCACTGAAACTTTCATTCTAATTTGCCAAATGGAAATACCAGATGTTTTTAAATGTCAGGACTCTTCCAAAATAACTATTGACTGTCATTTATTTTTATTTCTGAAGTAAATTTGAATATATTCAAATATTATCTCAATTTGTATAGATATAACTCATCAGTGTCAAGGAATTCTGATAAACAGAAAACAAATTGAAGGCAAATCAAACTCAACCACTGAGCCACTGAAACTTTTATTCTAATTTGACAAATGGAAATACCAGATATTTTTAAATGTCAGGAATCTTCCAAAACAACTATTGACTGTCATTTATTTTTTATTTCTGAAGTAAATTTGAATATATTCAATTATTATCTCAGTCTGTATAGATATAACTCATCACTGCCAAGGAATTCTGATAAACAGAAAACAAATTGAAGGCAAAATATACTGCTATTCCTTCTTTGCAACACCAGAGGGAACTACCTACTGAAAAAGAAGTCAAATTTACAACGTGTACATAAATAGCTTTCTCACTAGGGGGAGCAAAGAAAAAATCAAATTCAAATAATATACTCTATACATTCTTGAAAGAGTCTCTTTAAATAGAATATATATGCTTCTTTAAGAGAGGGGGACATAATTATTTTAACCTAAAGAAGCATATTACTATCAGGATGATTATAATAAAAAGCAACCAGAAAATATCATCTCTTCCTTGGGAATCTTAAAGTGATAGAAAACCTATATTTTATCGCATATATCATTGCTATCCTCTCTCCCTCTCTGTCTCTATCCTCACTTCCTTCTTTCCTCCCTTTATACTTATCCCTCTATTTTTATCTCCACCTCCAGTTTTATACCTTTAACTCTAGCTTTATAGATATATCAATCTCAATATAGATATATATTACACAAAGCAAAAAATAAAAGCTTTAACATTTAAATAGACAAGTCAGCAAAGTATAAAAACAGAATTCACAGAAGTAGCATGGCAAAATATTACAAGGAAAAATGTTCATCTATAATAATAATTCAGCAATGCAAAATGTAACAAAAACAGCCCAGCCAGTGTGTCTTGGTGGTTGAGCATAGATCGATGAACCGGGGGTCTGGTTGGATTCCTGGTAAGGGCGTGTGCAGCCTTGCAAGGCTTCATCCCCAGTGGGGGGCATGTAGGAGGCAGTCAAATGATGGTTATCTCTCCTCATTGATGTTTTTATCTCTCCCTCTCTCTTCCTCTCTGAAATCAATAAAAATATATTTTAAACAGTTATGTAAAATTCTAGTGAGCATGCAGCAAAATAGACATTCTCATACACCACTGTGGGAGTATTAATTGGTTTAAAAAAATCTTCCAGAAAGTAATGTGGAAATGCATGTTTGTAGGTTTTAAACCTGAAAAATTTCACCTCTTTTAATTTAGCTTAAGAAAATCATAAGAGAAGATGGCGGCATAGGTAAACACCGCAGACTGCTGCCGCAAACAACCACTTCAAAAATACAACTAAAAGACGGAACGGACATCACCCAGAACCGCAGGAAGGCTGGCTGAGGAGAGACTCTTCAACTAGAAGGAAAAATAACAGCACACCGAGGCTCAGAGGAGGCGCAGTGTGGAAAATACTCAGGTGCGGAGGTGCGCGCGCAAAGCGGGCTGGTGGCTGAGAGCGCGGTTGTCGTTTTCGGTCAGGGGGGAGTCTCAGACTCTGAGCTCCAGATACGGGCGAATCGCTGGGGACTCGGACCCAAACGGGAGAAGCGGGAGTGTCTGGCATCAGTTGGAAGGCAGCTTTCCCTCCGAGGTTTGCAGCGGTTCCGGGGGTTCTGAGAAGCAGAGCCTCTGGGAACAGGACTGAGGGCACCATAACGGCTCCCTCCGCCCGCCCTGTTGAGCCCGCCCCGCCCAAGCCCTGCGCAGAGCCATTTGCCGGATCGCCTCAGGCAAAGGCTAGATTAGCACCTCCCCAGAGGACAGAAGTTTTCCGCGGCAGACACAGCTGATTCACACAGCCAGTCGGCCTGGTGGTCAAATCCCTCTAGTATTAACTACAACAATCAAGGCTCAACTAGAACAAGACTGCGCACAAAGACCACTAGAGGGTGCACCAAGAAAGCATAAAAAATGCGGAGACAAAAAAACATGACAGAAATGGAGGATATAGAGCTAAAAATCGCAATTTTGAGGGCTTGCAAAAATGTGCTAGAAGCTGTCAATAAACTTGAGGAGAGAGTCACGAAAACTAATGAGACCCTCGATGCTATGATAAAGAACCAACTAGAAATTAAGCATACACGGACTGAAATAAAGAATATTATACAGACACCCAATAGCAGACCAGAGGAGCGCAAGAATCAAGTCAAAGATTTGAAATGCGAAGAAGCAAAAAACACCCAACCGGAAAAGCAAAATGAAAAAAGAATCCGAAAATACGAAGATAGTGTAAGGAGCCTCTGGGACAGCTTCAAGCGTACCAACATCAGAATAATAGGGGTGCCAGAAGATGAGAGACAGCAAGATATTGAAAACCAATTTCACCTCTTTTAATTTAGCTTAAGAAAATCATAAGAGATATGTAAAATATAAATGTACAAAGACATTTGCCAGAGCAATATGATAGTAAAAAGTGTAAGTAAACTTAATATAATGGGAATAGTAAAGTATAACTTTCATTTCAAAAATATTGTGCTCTCATTAAAATTTCGGTCTTCAAAAAGTATTAAATAACATTTAATTACATTATGCTATCTTAGTAAATTAAAAAGAACAGAAAATAAAATTATATAAACAGTATGTTCACAATATATTTTAAAATGTTTCTTTATAAATGGTGGTTAGATTTACTTAGTAGGATTACAGATACTTTTAAATTTTCTTTTTAAATTTTTGATACATTCTAAATTTTCTACAATGGGCAACATACCAACCTTATGGTTAGAGGGGGGAAACATTTTTACCTTTTTTTTAAAAAAAACAAGAACAGTGTTTCCAAAAAGATTCAAGAATAGTAAAACAACAACAACAAAAACCAACATCTCTTATTAGGGTAAGTTCAAAGAGCTGACAGTTTTCAGGTTAAAATATATATTGTTATTGATTATCTGTCTATCCATCAAGATACACACATATGAGTGAGGTATGAGAGTACCTATTTTACTAACTATATACCAGCATTTTATTTTTAAGATTATATGCCAGGAGGTAGCTGATCGATGTTTCTCTCTCATCGATGTTTCTAACTCTCTATCCCTCTCCCTTCCTCTCTGTAAAAAAATCAATAAAATATATATATATTGCTATTGATTATCTGTCTATCCATCAAGATACACACATATGAATGAGGTATGAGAGTACCTATTTTACTAACTATATACCAGCATTTTATTTTTAAGATTATATGCCAGTTATTTTGTAGAATGTCTCTCAACAATTTGTGGGTTTCTTCCTTATAATATAATTCTGGTTATATATTTTTGTTTGGGATATTAATGAAATAATATGTTTTTCCTCAGTAAATCACATCATATGTCCCATTTGTGGTGATTAATAAGTTATTTCTGGGAAGATGCTTTGAGATAATGTACATACCCTGAATCTCATAAAAATGTATACTAGAGTGCTTTCATCCTTTGATTATTTATGCCTAAGTCACAAGATGATGGCTTTCTGACCATCATTTCTTCTACTTTTAATAGTTGGCTTTTCTTTTGTAAAGTTTTCTTTTCTCTCCCATTTACTTAGCAGTATAGGCACATGGACTTTTCTTTTAATCAATGGGTTATAATCCATTACTGTTATTTTTTATTTTGATATTCCAATGCTGCCAGATTTGGTCATGGAAGCCACTAGAGGCTAGCCCCATTGTCCCTTTTATTTTTTTTAATCCTCACTTGAGGATATGTTCTTATTGGTTTTTAGAGAGGAAGGAAGGAGAGAGAGAGAGATTGGTGGGAGAGAGAAACATCCATTGGTTGCCTCCCTATTGCTCCCCAACCAGGGAATCAATCCTGCAACCTTTTGGTTTAGGGACAACACTCTAACCAACTGAGCCACCCTGCCAGGGCCCTTTGTCCTTTGACATGCCCGCATCATTTTTCCTTTATTTACTGTTTTGGAGCACATACTTGGTGGCACCACAAAATGTTCTAAGATCATTTGTACTTTTCCTTCCTGCCTCAGCTCTAGAAAATTCCAGTCTAACACTACAGAGTTCTTTCTAGCCTTCCTCTATTCCATATTTGCATCTCCCTTCTCTCAAAGTAAAAACCCTGGCTCTGAACATCATCAGTGTCTTTCCTCGTTCACTCCAGCCTCTGCAATACACAGAAAGTAGTTTCAGAATTGCTAAATTCGTGCTACTGTGAAATGCAAACCTACAAGAAGAGTTTAAGATTAGTTCATAGTTCATTTTGTCTTTAGAGTAAAGGTGTAGTTCAAGAGTTATTTGGTTTAAAAATATTTTTAAAAGATATTTGGTTAGATATTTTAACCCCTTTACTATGGTTATGTTAGTTAAAATTAATTTCAGAAAGAAAATTATATTTGATTAAATTTATCTTATGTGAATAAGCTTATTTGAAGGTTCTTCTGGTCTTATTAATATGTTTTTCAATTCAATGCCAAGTAAAAGTATTTTCATTTACTTAATGTTTTTACAATGTTTCTTTTTTTCTGAAGATGAAAAGTATCATATAACCAAAAGTATAAAATAAATATCACTAATACAAGTAAATGAGTAAGTAAATATATGTGGACAAGAGACCAATCTCCCATGCAGAAGAATTTCAAATACTGTAATTGATATAGTTTATCCTCAAGATGGTGGAACATAACTCCTTTCTCCTTAAGTGTGGGCTGTGCATTGTGACTTCCTTCCAAATAGTACAGCATGAAAGGAGGCAAAAAGAGTAACTTTACAGTAAAGCAATCTACCAGACACTGTCATCCAGGTTAACAAGGTTAACATCAACAGTGATATCATATTAATAGTACCTACTCTTGAAATGATGAAATGGCATTTTACCTCTGTGGTCACCCCCCCCCCAATTACATTACCCCAGTCTAATCATAAGAAAAACATCAGAAAAATCCCAATTGAGTGACATTCTAATAAACATTTGACCAGTACGCCTCAAAACTTTCAAGGTCATTCATCAGAAGCAAGGAAAGAATAAGAAACTACCACAGCCAAAAGGAGCCTATAGTGACATGATCTACTAAAGGTAATATAGTGTTCTGGGTGAGATCTTGGAACAGAAATAGGACATTAGGTAAAAAGTAGGGAAATCTGAACAAGTATGAACTTTAGTAAATGACAATGTACCAATTTAGGTTTATTAATGTAGCAAATGTTCTCTACTATGTAAGATATTAATAATAGGTGAAACTGTGGGTATATGGAAAATCTCCCTACCATCTTTATAATTTTCCTGTAAATATAAAGCTATTCTAAAATTAAAAGTTTATTTTAAAAATCAGTGTAGAATATTTGGAAAATGCAAAACATCTAAAGAGGAAAACTTACTTATTTGTACCATTTCTACATAAATACCTTTAATATTTTTAGCATATTTTTCTCTTTCTCTATCACTCCCTCTCTTTTTCTCCCCCACTTCTCCTTCCTATCTTTCCTCCCTCCTTGTTACCTCTCTATTTCTATCTTGATCTCTTTCAATATTTTTAGTATACTTTTCTTTCTGCTTCTCACATTCACTGGCTGTCTTTGGATAAATGTATGTGTGATTGGCCAGAATTCCAAAATATAATAGATATGAAATGTCAACTGACTCTTAAATATCTCAATCAAATCGAGAATACAGAAGGACTGGAGAGTCGGCAGAAGAATTGGTAAAAAGCTGCTTCTATAATATGAGTTCTCATTTGACTTCACTCCAGATGAACCTTTACTTGAAGCTTATCCAGGCAGAGAAGTTCTCAAGTTTAACTCTTCACAAGACTTAAAATGTGTTTCTGCGATTAAGAAGTCTTGAGGATCAGTAACTGATTTGTGTGTGGGTGAGAATGCCAACGCAGGCTGGCAGCAAAGCAAACTGGGATAGGTCTGAACTCTTAGACTTTGTTGAAGCAAAGAAAATGAAAAAAGTTTTCCCATAAACCAAATGTGAACCATGCAGGATCAAGGGGCAAAAGGGGTTAGCCTAGGTCCTGGCCAACAAACAAAGCTGCCTGGAAGGGCAGAGGAACCCTAGCTGCAAAATGCTGGACATGGCCAATAGATTCCTGGGGGCTAAAGAAATGAGCTATAAGCAACCAGATGGAATAAGGAAGCATCTACCCAAGTCAAGGGAGTTTCGGTAGAGAGGTGCTCTCAATGGTGATCACTAAGGATCCAATAGTGTTTGCCAGCATCTAAAATCACAAAGCCATCCAGCCTAGTCAGGATGCCTCTGTGCCCGTTATGGGCTAAATGTTTGTGTCCCCCAAAATCCATATATTGAAGCCCTAACCCCCATCGTGCCTGTATCTGAGGGTGAGACTTTTGAGAGGTAATTAGTTTTAGGGCATGAGGGTAGAACTCTCATGATGGAATTAGTGTTCTTAGAAGAAGAAGTTCTCTCTGTGTGTGTCTTGCTCTTGCTCTCGTTCATGCTCACTCTCACTCTCGCTCTCTCTATCCCTTTCTCATTCTTTCTCTTCCTTTCTCGTTCCCTCTCCCTCTCTCCAACTGCACACATTAAGGAAAGGCTATATGAGAACACAGCAAGGAGGCAGCTATCTACAAGTCAGGAGGAGAGCCCTCACCAAGAACTGAATTGGCTGACACCTTGACCCTGACCTCTCAAAAGCCAGAGCTGTGAGAAATATGTCTGTTTTTAAGTTACCCTGCCTATGGTATTTCCTAATAGCAGCCCAAGCTGACAAAGACAGTGCCTTTCCTTACTCCTAATTCCTTTCTTCTCTCTTGGCCTCTAGAAGCCAGAAACATCAGCTGATAAGTGGGTAGGAGGGGGGCAATGAGATAAAAAGTCCAATCACATAGGCCTTTCTTGTAAGCGGGCAGCTGCCATCTATAGACCTTAGAAAGGAGGGAGGTAGGAAGTCTTACCTTTCAATAAAGGTTGAATCACTTAATATCTGGAAATGACCACTTCCTAATTACTGAACTGAAACAATGTTTTGTAAATTTAAGTATCTTTTAACTCTTTGAAAAAAAGTCTTATAGACTATTCCCAAATACCATCCAGGCTGGAGAAATGTTTACCTCCAGTAAATAACAATTTAAGGAATAATGAAAGACTAACATAAGATAGTGTTTCAATTGTGCAAAGCACCATGTTTGTTCATTATGCTGAATACACAGGGTAGGGAAAAGGTAGGTATACAGTTATGAGTAAGGGAAACAGTTTATTCTCTCATTATTTATTAATTATTGTATTTTGCATATGAACAACTGTACACCTACTTTTGCCCCACCCTGTATATTTGATATTGGCTGAATTGTTTCTGCCCCCAAATTCAAATGTTAAAGCTATAACCCCAAGTATCTCATGATGGGACTGTATTTGTTAATAGGGCCTTTAAAGAAATTAAGTTAAAGGAATTTGTTAAGTAGTTCCTAATCCAATATGACCAGTGTTCTTATAAGAAGAGGAAATGTGAATACACAAAGAAACACCAGGGGCATGCACATACAGAGGGAGGATCATATGAGGACAGAGAGGGGAAAAAATAGCCATCTTCCCACCAAGGAGAAAGGCCTCAGGAGAAACTGAACTGAAGATGCTGACACCTTGATCTTAGACTTCTAGCCTGCAGAACTGGGAAAAATAAATGTCTTTTAAGCCACCCAGTCAGTGACATTTTGTTATAGAAGCCCTAGCAAGCTAATACACTATCCCCTATATAGGTGATATATCACACTTAATTTCCAACACCTTCCTATTCTCTGTTTCTAACCTTGAACTCATCTCTCAACCTAATCCACTCTCCTTTTCCTCTATGATTATTCTTGGCTTCTTTCCTTACCTGCAATTGGCCTCCCTTCTCTTGCATTAGGCCTGCGTTTAGCCTCTACATGTACAAAACAAACAGATGTCAAAGGATACTGGTTATTTCCCTGACACCTCTGTTACAGGGCTGATGCAACCACTAAAGCCCCTCCTTTCCATTCTCTACCAAAATCCTGTGGTTGACTTGAGCCAAAGCCCAGAAGCTACACCTCTACACTTTATAAAGTTCTTATTAACTAATATCCCACCAATACATGGAGAAGTAAACTTCCCCATGGCATTGGGAATAGTAACAAGTCACAGGAAAGCTGGAGAACAAGTTCCAAGTCTTTGATCAGCCTGGGGAGAAGGGCTGTTTGTCTCTGACAACCTCACACTAGCTCTATAACAAAAATATCTCCTTTCCTTAGACTTTTTACTCTTATGCAATGAGTGTGTTACCTGGAGCAAAGCTGTATGCAGTTAGGTAACACACTCACTTTGGGCAAGTTTTGTCTTTACATAAATTGTTATACATGGGGCTTTGCTTTAGCTCATGGGTAGGAAACCTTTTTTCTGCTAAGAGTCATTTGGATATTTATAACATCATTTTAGGGCCATCCAAAATTACCAACCTAAAAAATAGCCTGCTATATTTGGTCAAACATTTAATGAACTCACCCCTAATGCCTGGCCAGGGCCAGACCAAATGAGTTTGAGGGGCTGATACAGCCTGAGGGTGGACATTCCCCACCTCTGCTTAGCTAGAGAAACAAAGATATATTTTTCCTTTTTTTTTTTTTTTTTTTTTTTTTTTTTTTTTAAAAAAGGGGAAAGGCTAGGAAAGAGGAATAGAGGCAATGGAATGAGGTTTGCTTCCCAACAGACCCCTTAGGTCATATGAGAGCTTCTAGGCAAGACAGGAGTGAGGACCTGAGCCTGAGGAAGCCCAGTCATGAGGGACCTAGGAACTGGCAGTGCCGCTATAAGTCTCTTCCTAAAAATACCTTGCTTTGACCTCCTGAAACACCAGCTGCTTCATCACCACTGGGTATGTGTATTGCCACAGGCATGCAGAAGTTCCTTCAAGCAGCTGTGGAATAATGGATTTTGACAAAACAGCAGAGCAAGATGCCAACTACAGAAATCAACAGCAGAGATCACAGTACTTTGTACATCTCAATCAACAAAGTTTTTTTCAAATAAAGCACAATATAGGGGAAAACAAGTTGACATGAATTCATAATAAAATAATAGAAATAAAAAGTCTAGGAGCAGGGCAACCTTATAAAATTAGAAAGAGGATTATTTTTCTCCATCCTCTCCTATTTCCCCTTTCAGGACCCTGGATACACATTTTCCCCCTTTTTCTCCCCTTCCCTAAAAGATACCCAGGTTAATAGAGGAAATACCACTTAAATTTGGGGTCATTTAGACACAATTTCAAATCCATGCTCTGCTGCTTACCAGCTATGTGACCAAGGGCAAGTCCTTAACCTCTGAGGTTCAGTTTCCTCATGGGACTCATGGTAACAACCTCACTGTTATGACCTTTTAACCAAACAGGGCAGCTCCTTTCTTTCCCCTCCACCTTCCTCTTCCTGAGGCACCAAATCCTGGCCTGGTCTCCCAGCAGTTCTCCAAGGCTCCAGGATTCATTTCTTTCCTTCCCCCCTCTCCATGCCCAGCTTCAGGTTCTCACCCGCCATAAGCATCTTAAAGAAGGTAAATTGTAACGCAAGTAAATGAAACTTTAATGGTGCAATTGGAGGCAGTTAAAGAGTTATAGATGCCAGGACATCCCTCAGGGACATTCCCTAACAATAATTGGTCATCACTTTTGCCTACAATACATCTGCTAGGCAGTAGGTTTTCAGCTCTAATGTATAAAATTAATAAACCGTTAGGATTTAGAGTAGTACAGAGAGGAAGAGCATGATCTTGGGAATTTATTTGTCTCCTTAAAAATCCTGGCTCTGCCACTTACCTGCTGTGTGGCCTTGGGAAAGTTACTAAAACCTGGCTGCACTCTGTGCCTCAGTTTTCTTATCTGGAAAAAAAGGGGGGAGAATAGTGTATATTGTATGAGGTTGTTATAAAAATTAAGTGAATTAATACATGTAAAGTCCTTAGAACAGTGCCAATGTTGAAATTGAAAACAGTTTATTAAAATGATTAAAAGGAAGATCCTAAATATAAAGAAAATGCATATTCTTGTACCATAAATGTTCTTTTATTTAAACAGCAGACTTGCAAACTCTGACTCAGAGATAAATACCTCATGCTTCTAGAAAACTTTACACACTCTGACTCAGAGATAAATACCTCATGCTTCTACCAAATGAAGGTTAGGCACACAAAGATTCATGAAGTGTGACGCTTACTAGTCACTCATTCATGCATTAAGAGGAAAAATAGATAAGCCAAGCCAGACACAGACATTAGCCACCCCCATTACACACACACACACAAACACACACACAATGCATGTGTGCACACACACATGCACACAGACATTCTTTTTTCCTGTTTCCTACACTAACTCCATATCTTGGTATATGAAGGACTATTTTTTTATGCAGTTTGAATTTGAAGCCTAAATTTTAAAAACAAACACTATAGTGTAGTAGTAATAAGCATGGGCTCTGAGCCACATTTAATTTATCTGTTTTGCAGATAAGCATATCGAGACAAGGAGATGTTAATATACTTGCACAAGATGAGTGGGAGCTGCTTTTATTGAGCATCTGTAATGGACTAGAGACTTAAATTCTCAGCTCACCTAATTACTCCATAACAACCCTCCATAAAGGGCATGATGCCCATTTCACAATTGAGGAAACAGAGATCCAACAAGAATTGGAAGCTTGGTCCTAGCTGGTTTGGCTCAGTGGGTAGGGCGTTGGCCTGTGGACTGAAAGGTCTCGGGTTCGATTTCAGTCAAGGGCATATGCCTGGGTTTCGGACTTGATCCCCAGCGGGGGGCATGCAGGAGGCAGCTGATCAATGATTCTCATCATTAATGTTTCCATCTCTCTCTCCCTCTTCCTTCCTCTCTGAAATCAATAAAAATATTTTTTCAAAAAAGAATTGGGAGCTTGTGCAAGATTACTAAATTAGCAGAGACCTCTGATTTAAATTTGTTTCTCCACCCAAAATGTCATGGATTTTTCTTGATTTCTCAACCTTTATTACTCTCCAATAGTTAGATGGAACTGTATAAAATTAATATGAAATTTATCAGTCAAATATGGTCAAATTTGGAAATGTCATATAATTCAATGTATACTTAGAGATGCGCTGTGCAGAAATCATCACAATGCCTTACTAACACTGTTGCTCCCCTGTATTTTCCTCACTTTCTCAAATTCATACCTTACTATCCTATAGCTATTGACACTGATTCGAATGGAATATCACTGGGAAGGATTTTGGAGGAATATTAGACATGGTCTCTGCTATCAAATGACTACAATCTAGTTGGCAAGATAAGATAATCTCAATAGAAGCTATCAGAGAGCAAAACAATAAAAGCAAGATTCAACTGGCCATCAATGAATGAATATTCATATGTCAGGCTCCATGCTTGCTGATACAGTGATGAGTAAAAGAAACATGATCAAGACATGGTTCATGTCCTCATGGAGCAACAAGGGGGAGAATACTGAACAAATAATTAAATAATCATAGATGTAAAATATTCTCAGAGTGGCCACTGAACACCCCTACTTAGATTAAGTCCTGGTTCGCAGACCCTGTCATGTCCTCATGGAGCAACAAAGGGGAGAATACTGAACAAATAATTAAATAATCATAGATGTAAAATATTCTCAGAGTGGCCATCAGTTATTTTCTCTTCTGACTAAACACCCCTACTTAGACTAAGTCCTGGTTCGCAGACCCTGCCCTGGCTCTACCTGCAGGGCCCTCTCTGACCTCAGTGGAGTGGATGTAGATCAGCTCATTTTGAAGCAGCCTCTTTTTATTTTACATACTCCCACATCTTTGTCTTTGAAGACAACTTTTCTGGCAATTCAAGAATGGATCCAGCCCTTAATGTAAAATAACTATGTAATTAAACAGGGTGGATTCTTTTTCTCTGTGAGTGACTGCTTGCAACTACAAATAAGTTTCTGGTTTAGGGGAACTAAATAAAGAATGTGATCAACAATTTTCTCCTTAAAACATACAATTACAAACCACAGCAGGCTCAGATACAAGTATGCCCATGATTTTGGGGGAGTCAAATATATTCTTGGTGCTTCTTATGCTACTGGTGAAAACCATGGAGCCACTGGGTGGAGCACAGGAAAGAGAATTAATTAAGAGGATAAAACCCTGGATGTAACTACTAGGGCACTGGAACTCTTTAACTGCATCTTGTACTCATGGTTGAAATTATAACCAAATTGAATACCTGGAAAATAAGGCTACATTTTCATAAACATGTTTTATTAAAGGCCTGACCAATTTTAGTGTACATAATTGTATGCTTTCACTAACTTGAAGCTTTTGTAATTCAATCATTTGGTTTTGTATTGAACTCAATTTTGAAGGTCTCCTTTTAGAATTTCAGTAGTGGGTATAGTTTGGAGGACACAAATTGGCTGACAGCATATTTGAATACAAACATTAAATCATCTTTTAAGAGGAACCTGCTATTTCACAGAAGTTTTTTATGGCATCGCCACAGCCCTAAAGATCATCTGAATGCTACATAATGGAGCACTTCAATCATATGTGAGCCCATTGGGCCTTCAGAGTCCTTCCCATTGTTTTAAGCAATATTTGTATTGACATTTTCATGGATCATGCACTTGATTTCAAAGCCAAAAAACAGTGGGATTGCTTCATAGATTACAAGAAGGATTAGAGACTAATAAAAATAAATTCTGTCATGAAAATGAAAAGAATGAATATATATTTTACAATTAAAGGCTCCAGCTTCTCCAAAAACTCTATCACTTAATATCAACTCAACAACAATAACACATGCGATAAAATTAAAATGGCATCTCGTGGTTTAATATTTAAACAAGTGAAAACATAGGAGTTCTTACACTTATTGTACTAAATAACCCTGTGAGGTAAGAATTATTTTCTTTGTTTTATAAGTAAGAAAACTGGGGCTCAGAAAGGGGTAAGAGTCTTATCAAATACCACATGGATTAAGAAGTAAAAGAGCTTAAACTTGAAATCAGTTCCATCAAACCCCAAACCAACATATTTGTCCATAAACAATATTGCCTGATGGGAAGGAAGAAAACAAACTATCAGGCTATCATAGGAAACAAAGAGGGAGGTGATAAAGTGACAACTGTAGGAAATTATGCATTGTGGCTTCCAGCTATATGAAATCATTTTCAATAACTGAGTGAGACATTTCCAAAGAAGAACTGACAGAAAACTGGAAATTTAGAGCAATTACTAAAAATATTGAACAAAATCAAAGCTGATTTTAGTTTGCATTTTGCAAAGCTCTATGGTGATTAAGAACATGAATGAACCAAGGAGTCAGGCTCTTCTGGCTACAAGCTCTTGCTCTGTCTTTTAATAGCTATGCAATTCTGGGCAGTTAACCAGTTTAGCCTCAGTTTCCTAAATGATTTAATATACACAGCTATGATAAAGTTTAATGTATTAATTAGTTACAGTAAGAGATTAATAGCCCTAGCTGGTTTGGCTGAGTGGATAGAACCTCGGCCTGCGGACTGAAGGGTCCTGGGTTGGATTCCAGTCAAGGGCACATGCCCAGGTTGCAGGCTTGATCCCCAGTAGGGGGTGTGCAGAAGGCAGCCAATGAATGATTCTCTCTAATTATTGATGTTTCTATCTCTCTCTCCCTCTCTCTTACTTTCTGAAATCAATTAATCAATATATATATATAGAGAGAGAGAGAGAGAAAGAGATGAACAACTAATAATAAAATTAAATAATTTTAATAATATACTGTAATAAAGTTGTGTGGTTTTCTGTCTCAAAATATCTTACTTTAACCATCCTTTACATGGTCTGATGTCACTTGCTGAAGTCTTTATATCAGGGGGTGGGAACTACTGGCCCACAGGCTGTAGAAGGCCTGAGAAATCATTTGGTCAAGACATTAAGGGTGAGTTACTTAAATGTTCGACCAAATATAGCAGGCTATTTTTTGAGTTGATAATTTTGTATGGCCCTCGAATGATGTTACAAATATCCGAATGGCCCTTGGCAGAAAAAAAAGGTGTCCTACCTCTGCCTTATAGGCTCAGGGCTTTCTGCCACAACACATCACCATCAATCAGAACACGTTTTCTGTTCATGTCTTCCACTCACACATGTAATGCCTTTTCCATTTGAACTAAGGCACTTATCATGCACTGTGGCCATAGCTTTTGCAGACTGAGGTGCAACAGTAAAGCTAGCACTAATTTCTTTTTCCTTCTCCACAATTTCATGGGTAGATTTTTTTTTTCTTACCACCCATAGTAACCTCAGCATACATTTTTCCTTTCTTTCATTGTTATGTCCAGAACTTACACCTTTTCACTTAAAGGAACCACTTTCAGGCTTCTCTTTAGCATAATCAATTGCCAGCATCACTAATCTTGAGCTTTGGGGACATTATTAAGTAAAATAAGGGTGGCTAACGTAAGCACTGCCATACCATCAGAGTCCACCTGATAACTAAGAGAGCTGCTGAGTGACAGGCAGGCTCCCGTGGGGTAATTCACGTGGCCACAATTTACGTGGCTGCAATTCACGTGGCTGCAATTCACACTGAGTGGGAGAGGTTGCAGAGGGTGCGAGATTTCATCATGCTACTCAGAACAGCCTGCAATTTAAAACTTAGTAACTGTTTATTTCTGAAAATTTCCATTTCATATTTTTGGACCTTGGTTGACAGAGGATAATTGAAACTGGGGGAAGCAAAACTGCAGACAAAAGGGGGCCTGCTGTACTTAACCCTGTGTTCAATTTCATTAAGAGAACATGTATTCATTATTTAGAGCACATTCTCAAAATGTATAGCTGAAGATTGGGTCTAAAGAGGCGGGGTATAGAGGGCCCTCAGCGGCGGTCCCGGATCTGCCTCTTGCTTCAACAATGTTTGGACGGAACAGACCCAGGGACACCCCTTCTTCCAGCCTCCGAACACCCTTCTGTGTCTTATCCAGTCACCACCTTCAGAACCACCTCTGGGACCAGCCAATACACTGGTGTGTGTTTCTTTTTGTTTTGTTTTGTTTTGTTTGTTTGTTTTCCTACCTTAACTCCTTATTGGTGAACAACCATGAGCTCCCAAATTCGTCAGAATTATTCCACTGAGGTGGAGGCTGTGGTCAACCGCCTGGCCAACCTGCATCTGCGGGCCTCCTACACCTACCTCTCTCTGGACTTCTATTTCGACTCTGATGATGTGGCTCTGGAGGGCGAGGGCCACTTCTGCTCTGAGTTGGCAGAGAAGAAGCTTGAGGGCACTGAGCATCCCTTAAAGTTGCAAAACACGTGAGGTGGCCTCCTTCTCTTCCAGGACTTGCTGAGCCTTCCCAAGATGAGTGCGCAAAACTCAGGACGCCATGGAAGCCACCCTGACCTTGGCGAGGAACCTGAACCAGGCCCTTTTGGAGCTGCAGGCCCTGGGTTCTACCCCCGCAGACCCTCAGCTCTGTGACTTCCTGGAGAACCACTTCCTGGATGAGGAGGTGAAACTCATCAAGAAGATGGGCAACTACCTGACTAACCTCCACAGGCTGGCTGGGCCGGGCTGAGCGAGTATCTCTTCAAAAGGCTCACTCTCAAGCACAACAAGGAGCCTTTGGAGCCCAGAGGCCTTTGAAGGCCCCTCTGCGTTCCCCTGATGTCTGGCTTTTACCTGAGCCTCTCCCCAAAACTACTATCCATTCTTTTAACCACCCTGAAGCCCTCTCCCAGGCATTGGACCAAATGAAACAATAAAGCTTTTTGAAGGGGGGAAAAAAAAAGAGGCAGGGTATAGTGATGGGGAACATAAAAATATCCTAAAATTATAAATGGATGAGCAATATAAAATATTACAGTGATAAGGCTATAGAGAAAATTTATCAACTAAGATACAGAGCTTTATCTGAAGAACACAGGAAGCCTTCAATATTTTGTTAACAATGTTTACAGAAAGTTGATAAAATTTCAGCCAATTCAGCATCAAAATATTCCATTTAATTTTGTGCAAAACCACGAGCATTAAATGTCTTCTCATATGTCACTTCAAATATGGTGCAGAATCAAGAAATATAAAACTTATAATTATATAACAATAGAAAAATAATAGAAAAACAATTAAATAAATATTTTTATTTAATCTATATAAAGCAAAGATTGCACTCATTTGTTGAATCAAAATATGCACAATGCCTAGTGGAAGAACATGAAACATACAGGAAGAACATAAAACAGATACAGGAAGACCATGAAACAAATCATGTTATAAACGTGTTATTAGAATTAAACAATGATTAGTAATCAAGAGGTAAAACCAAACACTTTGCATCATAACTAGGGATTTATTGTAATTACATGTAAGTTCACTGGCTGACTCACATTTCAAACACAATTCCAGAATGTATCAAGTAAGGAATTGCTTGTCTCAAATTACGTGACCAGAACTGATATATTCCTAGAGGTTTAAGAGTATAGATAGAAAGATATAGAAAAAAAACAAAAGATGATTTTCAGTTCTACAGTTAACCATGACCTTCACCAAAACACTTTTCTCTAGGCCTTTTTCCTCATCTGTAAAAGGTAATTCTTAGTTCTAAAAAGTCCATAGAAAGGGGAGGGGGGAATAGAATAGCAAAAAAGGAAAGGAAAGGAAAGGAAAAGAAAGGAAAGGAAAGGAAAGGAAAGGAAAGGAAAGGAAAGGAAAGGAAAGGAAAGGAAAGGAAAGGAAAGGAAAGGAAAGGAAAGGAAAGGAAAGGAAAGGAAAGGAAAGGAAAGGAAAGGAAAGGAAAGGAAAGGAAAGGAAAGGAAAGGAAAGGAAAGGAAAGGAAAGGAAAGGAAAGGAAAGGAAAGGAAAGGAAAGGAAAGGAAAGGAAAGGAAAGGAAAGGAAAGGAAAGGAAAGGAAAGGAAAGGAAAGGAAAGGAAAGGAAAGGAAAGGAAAGGAAAGGAAAGGAAAGGAAAGGAAAGGAAAGGAAAGGAAAGGAAAGGAAAGGAAAGGAAAGGAAAGGAAAGGAAAGGAAAGGAAAGGAAAGGAAAGGAAAGGAAAGGAAAGGAAAGGAAAGGAAAGGAAAGGAAAGGAAAGGAAAGGAAAGGAAAGGAAAGGAAAGGAAAGGAAAGGAAAGGAAAGGAAAGGAAAGGAAAGGAAAGGAAAGGAAAGGAAAGGAAAGGAAAGGAAAGGAAAGGAAAGGAAAGGAAAGGAAAGGAAAGGAAAGGAAAGGAAAGGAAAGGAAAGGAAAGGAAAGGAAAGGAAAGGAAAGGAAAGGAAAGGAAAGGAAAGGAAAGGAAAGGAAAGGAAAGGAAAGGAAAGGAAAGGAAAGGAAAGGAAAGGAAAGGAAAGGAAAGGAAAGGAAAGGAAAGGAAAGGAAAGGAAAGGAAAGGAAAGGAAAGGAAAGGAAAGGAAAGGAAAGGAAAGGAAAGGAAAGGAAAGGAAAGGAAAGGAAAGGAAAGGAAAGGAAAGGAAAGGAAAGGAAAGGAAAGGAAAGGAAAGGAAAGGAAAGGAAAGGAAAGGAAAGGAAAGGAAAGGAAAGGAAAGGAAAGGAAAGGAAAGGAAAGGAAAGGAAAGGAAAGGAAAGGAAAGGAAAGGAAAGGAAAGGAAAGGAAAGGAAAGGAAAGGAAAGGAAAGGAAAGGAAAGGAAAGGAAAGGAAAGGAAAGGAAAGGAAAGGAAAGGAAAGGAAAGGAAAGGAAAGGAAAGGAAAGGAAAGGAAAGGAAAGGAAAGGAAAGGAAAGGAAAGGAAAGGAAAGGAAAGGAAAGGAAAGGAAAGGAAAGGAAAGGAAAGGAAAGGAAAGGAAAGGAAAGGAAAGGAAAGGAAAGGAAAGGAAAGGAAAGGAAAGGAAAGGAAAGGAAAGGAAAGGAAAGGAAAGGAAAGGAAAGGAAAGGAAAGGAAAGGAAAGGAAAGGAAAGGAAAGGAAAGGAAAGGAAAGGAAAGGAAAGGAAAGGAAAGGAAAGGAAAGGAAAGGAAAGGAAAGGAAAGGAAAGGAAAGGAAAGGAAAGGAAAGGAAAGGAAAGGAAAGGAAAGGAAAGGAAAGGAAAGGAAAGGAAAGGAAAGGAAAGGAAAGGAAAGGAAAGGAAAGGAAAGGAAAGGAAAGGAAAGGAAAGGAAAGGAAAGGAAAGGAAAGGAAAGGAAAGGAAAGGAAAGGAAAGGAAAGGCCCGCACCGCAGCAGGGGAGCGGGAGTGGAGAGGACCCGGGGGAGCCCGAGAGCAAGGCGAGGGAGCTGGACGACCGGGAGGACGGCTCGCTCTGGGAGCAGTACTGGGAGGGGACCCGGGAGCGCTACCGGAAGAGGGCGACGAGGCACAAGTCCAGCGGCGCCCGGGAGGGCGAGTGGCGGTACCCCTTGGAGAAGAAGACCAAGTTCCCGGAGATCGCGGGGCCGGAGGAGTCCCTGACGGGGTCGCTCTGGGACAGCCAGTCCCTCCGCGAGCGGAAGAGGGAGGCCCTGGCGGGTGAGTCCGCGGAGCAGCTGTTCCGGCGGCCCAAGCTCAAATTCAGTATCCAGTCCTCGAGGGCCGGCCATCTCCCTTCGAACACCTCGTTCAGCATCATTAACGAGCTGGCGAAGATGGGCGACCCCGAGGTCCTGGAAGTGGTGAAGGAGGAAGGTAGGAGCCGGCCAAGGGGCGCGGGAGGAGGGTCGGGCTCTCGGGGGACGTTGGCGTGCCCTGTGCAAGACGGGGGGCTGCAAAGACCCCGCCCTGGGTGGGTGGGCGCCCCATGATTTTCTCCGCGGCTCCTGCAAGCCCGACCTAGTTCCCGTGACCCCCTGTGGTTCCAAGATCACCTTCCCTTTGCACCTCTGTGCTCCCAGGAGCCCGGGGGAAATGCTGGGAGGCGAGGTGAGCGCGCCAGGCATGTGAGCTTAGGTGCCCAGGCACCCAGAACAGAGTCTCCCACAGAGAGCCATTGCTTAGGGTGTATGACCTCGGACGCTTGTATGGGTGCTTTTTAAAAAAATATATCTTTATTGATTTCAGAGAGGAAGGGAGAGGAAAGAGAGATAGAAACAGCAATGATGAGAGAGAATCATTGATTGGCTGCACATTCCCCCACCGGGGATAAAGCCCGCAACGCAGGCATGTGCCCTTGGCTGGAATCGAATCTGGGACCCTTCAGTCCGCAGGCTGACGCTCTATTCACTGAGGCAAACCAGCCAGGGCTGTGTGGGTGCTTTTGCCTCTATTCACGGATGGCTGCTGGAGCTGTGAGATCCTGGTTAATTGTGGGAGAGGCAGGCCCTGAGGGTGGAGATTCTTAAGCATGCACTTAGAGCACCGCTGTACTACCAGCTCTCATTGAATCTTCGGCGGAGAAATTATTTGCTCATTGTTTGCTAAGGCCTTTGCGCAGACCCATACTCTGTGGATCTGTTTTACCTTGGTACACACCTTTTTCTAAAAGGTCACCTATTTTCTGGGACTATCTCCAATGACGCTAAGTTCCCTTGATAACAGTCTGTTTTCTTGTCTTGTTTATTGTTAGATCTAGACATGGACACAATCCTTTTAAGTAATAAGAGATCTATGCGGTCTTACTAGGTAGTCTTCAAAGGCACCAAGAAATGGAACGTATTATTGCATCTCCCTCCTCCACTTTCTTCACAGTTTTATTGATACAATGTATACACTATAAAAGTCATCCATTTAAAGTATGCAATTCAATGGTGTTTGGCATATTTACAGAGTTGTGCAGTCATCACCATAATCTAATTTTAGAACATTTTCATCACCTCAAATAGAATCCTCTTAGTAGTCACTCCCCATCACCCGCCTTCCTCTTATTCTGTGTTCCCAGCCTATGGGCAGCCACGCATTTATTTACTATAAATTTATATAGCAAACATAATCTATAATAACAAAAGTGTCATGTGCTAATTAGACAGGATGTCCTTTCGGCCGGCCTTCTGGATGAAGCTGGGGCTGCGAGGGAAGCTGGGGTCCCGGGTGCCGGCAGCCAGGGGAAGGAAGACCTACTCTTGCATGAATTGCAAGGGTGATCATGTAAACAGAATCATATGATATGTGGTTGTTTGTAACTGGCTTCTTTTTCTTATCTTAATGATGTTGAAGTTCACCCATGTTGTAACCTATATCAGTGCATTATTCCTTTTTATTGCCAAATAATATTCCACATTTTATTCATTCATCAGTTGGTGAACATTTAGGTGGTTTTCACTTTTTTTTTTTTTTGCTATCATGAATAATGCTATTATGAATGTTTATGTACAAGGTTTTGTATGACATTCTTTTTATTTTTTCGGTTATATACCTAGGAGTGGAATTGCTGGATCATGCAGTAGCTCTATAGTGTAAATTTTGAGAAACTACCAAACTATTCCAAGTGTCTGCATCATTTCATAATCCCACGAGCAATCTAATTGTTCCACATATTGGTACCCACTAGCATTTTTGTTATCTGTCTTAGCTATCACCATTCTAGTGTGTGTCAAATGGTATCTTAATGTGGTTTTGATTTGCATTATTTTCAGTGATTAATGTGTCAAATATCTTTTCCAGTGCTTACTAGCCACTCATATATTTTCTTTGGAGAAATGTCTATTCAAATTCTTTGCCATTTAAAAATTTAGTTATTTGTCATTTTATTATTGCATTGTAAAAGTTCTTTACATATTCTGTATATATGATTTTCAAATATTTTCTCTAATTCTGTGAGAAGCAACTACTCCCTTTTTAAGTCAAAAAATAATTTAGGGATAGAAGGAAATAAAACAATTGAAAACTTTTAGCTTTGACTAATGGCTTTGCTAAATGATGCAATATATTTATTTGTTAGGGAAAATGATTGGTGTTCAGTAATGCAAAAGAAATCAAATGATTTTCGAATGTATAAAATTGGGGGTCCCTACCTACCAGTATATTTATTTTTTAAATGTGTAAAATAATAAATAGAGGTCCCTATATTTATTGAATGATTTTCTCCTTTGCTGAGAATTACTTTATGTTGTAATTCCAGTAATTCAAAGGTCTTAATAGATATTTTTTTAGCTTGAAGCATTCAGTAATTCTTTATAATCAGTCCTTCTGAAGTAAAGCTATGAGAAAGTACAACAATATGTCCTTCAGTGAAGGAGTGGAGGAAAAATGGGAAGTATATAACTATATATAATTTAAAAAATCAATATGGCATTGCAGAGATTGACCATTATTATCTTTCCAATATTAGAAGTGTGATCTACTTTAGCCTCAGGATAACTTTGCTACTAGAATGTCATGGTGCAGCTTGACTCTGTCCCAGGAAGGTTTTAGAACTTTTCCAAAAAGAATTTCAGTTTTCCTTTTCTTTCTTTCTTTTTTTTCTTTTTTTTTTGGGGGGGGGGCGGGGCGGGCAAAGGCCATTGTAATATATTTTTATTTCCTCTCATTGTGATTGAAGCTTTGCCTCCAATTTGGGTGGAGATAGAAGAGGCTATTGATATGGAATACCATATACACTTGATGGTTGATTCTGATGACTGCGCCTGCCCAAATTCCTGTTGACTGTTTTGTTTATAGATCCAGAATCCAAGTACAGGAGTGTGTAAATTGGTGAGGTCCAGGCCACTATATTTATATTTCCTCTCATTGTGATTGAAGCTTTGCCTCCAATTTGGGTGGAGATAGAAGAGGCTATTGATATGGAATACCATATACACTTGATGGTTGATTCTGATGACTGCGCCTGCCCAAATTCCTGTTGACTGTTTTGTTTATAGATCCAGAATCCAAGTACAGGAGTGTGTAAATTGGTGAGGTCCAGGCCACTCGAATGACTTATTTTTCTAAATGTTTTTCAATATGCGAATTATCTTGCTGGGTTGGCTTTACTTCTCATTATTAAGACCTCTGTTATTACTAGGGTTGTATGAAAAGTGCATTTCAGTGAGGATGTATTTTAAAATTTTTAAATTACAGTTTACATTCAATATTATTTTGTATTAGTTTTAGGTTTACAGCATAGTGGTTAGATAGTCATATATTTTACAAAGTGTTCCCCCTGATATTTCCAATACTTGGCACCATACATAGTTATTACAATATTATTGACTATATTTTCTTTATATCCCCATGACCATTTTGTAAGCACCAATCTATATTTCTCAATCCCTTCACCTTTTTTCACTCAGTCCCCTAACCTCCCTTGCTTCTGGCAACCATAAGTTTGTCCTCTGTATCTATGAGTCTTCTGTTTTGTTTGTTCATTTAGTTTGTTCTTTAGAGTCCACATATAAGTGAATCATACGATAGTTGTCTTTGTCTGATTTATTCACTTAGCAAAATACCCTCTAAGTCCATCCATGTTTTTGCAAATGGCAAGATGTCATTCTTTATTGTAGCTAAGTAATATTCCATTGTATATATGTACCCACATTTTTATCTACTCGTCTCTTGATGGGCACGTTGGTTGCTTCTGTAATTTGGCTATCATAGATAGTGCTGCAATGAATATAAGGGTGCATATGTTCTTTCAAATCAGTGTGTGTTTTTTTGATATATACCCAGAAGTGGAAACCTGGGTCATAAGGCAGTTCCATTTTTAAATGTTTGAGGAACCTCCATATTGTTTTCCATAGTGGCTGCACCAATCTACATTTCTCCCAACAGTGCATGAGGACTCCCTTTTTTTCCACATCCTTGCCAATAGTTGTTGGTTTATTTTTTTAAAATATATTTTTATTGCTTTCAGAGAAGAGGGAGTGGGGGAGGGAGAATGATATCAATGATGGGAGTGAAGCATAGATTGGCTGTCTCCTGCATACCCCACACTGGGGATCAATCCTGTAAACTGGGCATGTGCTTGACCTGGAATGGAACCATGACTTCCTGGTTCAGAGGTGAATGCTCAACCACTGAGCCACACGGGTGGGGTGGAAAAGAACAACATGGGTTTGAACTGTGTAGGTTCACTTATGAGTGGATACATTTCAATAAATATTGCCAATGTATTTTCCTTATGATTTTCCTAATATTTTCTTTTTGTTATCTTAATCCTCCTATATACTAAAAAGCTAATATGCAAATCGACCGACGGCAGAATGACTGGTCGCTATGACACACACTGACCACTAGGGGGCAGGTGATCAATGCAGGAGCTGTTCCCTGGTGATCAATGTGCTCCCACAGGGGGAGCGCAGCTCAGCCAGAAGCCAGGCTGATGCTGGCAAGTGCAGTGGCGGTGGTGAGAGCCTCTCCCGCCTCCACAACAGCACTAAGGATGTCCAACTGATGGCTTAGGCCCGACCCCCTCAGGAATCGGGCCTAAGCCGTCAGTTGGACATCCACTGAGGGCTCCCAGACTGCAAGAGGACGCAGGGCTGGCTGAGGAACACTCCCCCCCTCGTGCACCGGGCCTCTAGTACAAAATATGTGTTAATCAACTGTGACAGGCTTTCTGTCAGCAGTAGGTTATTAGTAGTTAAATTTTTGAAGAGTCAAAAGTTATACAAAGACTTTTGGCTATGGGGGCGTGGGTGTCAGTGCCTTTAATCCCTGTGTGGATCAAGTGTATTTTTATTTAACGCAGCTGGAAGGAGTGTAAACTGAGAAGATCATTTGGTAAATGCAGGTGCTATTTTTGGGCTCTGGGTTTGCTGGAGTGTGTATTCTTAGTAATGTGCTTTCAGCAAAAACTTAGAGCTCAGTCTTTGGGGTGACTTTACTTTTAACTCATATTTTATGATACTTCACAATGATATAAGCCCTTTATGTCTCTGGTTTCTAGCACATTAGGAAGAACATAGTCATTTCCATTCATTTTAGAGGCAGTTGGAAGAATAACAAAAAGCTGATTGAGAGTTGTTGGGTTCAAATCCTGACTCTTCAGATAGGCCTCTGTTTTGACAGGGGTTTGGTGATTATGCATAGTTATTACATTCTATACTCTGTGAGTTAGTGTGGAAGTGTGTCTGGGTCTATGGCATGTGCGAATATCTGATTTTGTGTGTGTGTGTGTGTGTGTGTGTGAGCACTATGTGTAAGAAGGAGCATATAGTCTGAGGTAATACACCTTTCCTCTTTAATCTTTGTGTTCCATCTGGCTCTCAGGTAGCTTTCAGTCTTGTGGAGGAAAGAGTAATTGGGATAGGTTCCAGAGAGGGCTACATTCAGGTGGTGTGGGAGAGGGAGGAGGCTAATCCAGGGGACAGATGAGGAGGTTTCTGGCAAGGCCCGAAAGGAACATATCAAAACTGTTATAATGTGAAAAATTAGCAAGAGTTAGCCTAGTCCAGTGGTCGGCAAACTTCGGCTCGCGAGCCACATGCGGCTCTTTGGCCCCTTGAGTGTGGCTCTTCCACAAAATACCACGTGCGGGCGCGCACGTACAGTGCGATTGAAACTTCGTGGCCCATGTGCAGAAGTTGGTATTTTGTGGAAGAGCCACACTCAAGGGGCCAAAGAGCCGCATGTGGCTCGCGAGTCGCAGTTTGCCGACCACTGGCCTAGTCAAAAGTAGTTGTTAGTTATAGGGAAAGAAAGCAGCAAGCTAAAAGGTGAAAGCAAAGCATAAGAGAGAACTACTAGGGATAGGAGATAGCCTGGAGGAAAAATATCATCTCTTTTCTACATTCTCAAATAAACATATTGCATCAAGTTCCAATAGCAGTTTGAAAATATTTTTATTTATTTTAAATACAGCAAAAATAACTAGAGGAAGGAGGTGCTGGAAAAACTTTCTCTTCTAAAAAATAGAATTTTAAAATACTTTGTGTCAACTGATGGTCCTTAGTACCATCAATAGGAATCCCCAGTTTGGGTGCATGAAGAAGGAAACTTTATTCAGTGTAAGCAGTTTGTGATACACCAGTGATGACAGAGAATCTTTGACCGGCTGTCTACTGCACCTCCCACACTGGGGTCCATGCCTGCAACCCAGACATGTGCCCTGACCGTGAATTGAAACATGACCTCTTTCATAGGTCAATGCTCAACCAGTGAGCCACGCTGGCCGGGCTTATGTTGTATTCTTAAGTTGCTTATTTGCAACCAACTTGGGTCCACTCCAGGAAAATATGCTGATAGAATATTAAATCTCACATGGTGAGAACTAAGAGATAGCAATGGACATCCCTATGGGATATTTTCCTCTCAGCAGTTTTGTGTCTATGTATTTAATAACTGCATTTATCAGAGTTAAGTTTATTTCTTGGTAGGTGCCATTATATCCTACATATTGGTATTTGGTGTTTTTCTCCTAGATTATATACAGTTTGGGGCACTGATTTGTTTTGGAGGCTGTTTTGAATAACTTAGCTCCAGGAATATTTGGGGCATTTTCTTTCAGTATTTTTTTCTTTGAACTTTTTGTTTGATTTTTGAATTCTTGTTTTCTCTCTATGCAAACTCTTAACATATTCTGATCAATTGGCCATTTAACATGTGTTTTTTTTTCCTTTCTTATTTAATTTAGGAAGAAGACTCACTAGGCAAGCAGACTTTGATTTAAGAATGAGTGAGGTAAGTTAAATATATACTAGCTGCCTATAAGTCAGAATGAAAAACCAAGACTAGGTTAGAAATGTACTTTATATGAATATCTTAGGTCTTTGCCCTTCAGCTATTTACTCATACTACATTCTTTCTATTTTTTCCTCTAACCTGGTCATTTTTTTATTAAGTAAAGCAAATACCATGTTTCATGCAGATTTATTATTGGGTCTTTCTAGATGTTGTAAGGGAGCAAACACAAGCTTGGATTTGTTTTCAGGATCCCTATGAAATAAACTCAGAATGCTAAGACTTGATATGCTATATAATAGTACTTGGCTTAACACTTTGATAGAGTATAATGCAGTTATAATATGTGACAGCTCTTTGTGTTACAATTATTAGTATGTGAATAGTGCTTATTGATGACTATGCCAAGGTTCCAGTAATTCAACCTGAGTTAAGTAAACATATTAAATAAAATAATAAATAATAAAATTAAATGCCACTTGTAAAAATACAGAATTTTCTCAACCAAAAGCCTTATTTTATTTATATAAACTGATAATTAGGATTTCTCATATACAGAATGTAAGCATTCTGAAGGTACTTCAGACAAAGTAATCTTTCCGGTACGTGTCCTTGAATTGGGTTAAGGGTGACCAACAAGATAACAACAAAAAAAATATTTCTTTAAAAATAGCTATTTAGGAATGACTGAAATTCCCACCCTGGGAAAGAAAGTCTATCAGAGTAGGTTGGCTGTGTGCTAGTTATTAGCAGGATAAACTGTTTGACTAAAGATTCCCAGAAGCTCTGCAATTCCTTTAAAAGTTCAGTGACCAAAATGCTGACAGAAACAGAATATGAAAACTGAAGAGACTATGGAAATCATATATATAGTCCAGTAATTTTTACAGTATAATTTGTAGACCACCTGAATAAGAATTATATGAAAAACTCCCTCAAAATGAAAACATTTGGGCCCAACCTCAGATTACTAATCAGGACTCTTCAGGGTAAGGTTAAGAAGTCATGATTTTAAAAAAGCACCCAAGTGATTCTTATTGCCATTAAAGTTTGAAAACCACTATCATAAAATAGTCTCCACAACTAAAGGGATATAATGTGACACTGAGAACATACTTATTAAGTGAATCAAAACAAGTATCTAGAAAATAAAGAACATGAAAAAATCAAGTCTCCATTTCTTTAGAGCATTCTGAGGAAAGATTTATAAGATTGAACCAGTTTACATGATAACAAATATATTGTCATTTTGTTCATATTGGCATAATAATATACACACAGATTTTTATGTATTTCTCAAGTTAACTGCAGTTACAGTTTACATTCTTGGCTTCTGTGTTTATCTTTCATATTCATATATACTCTAGACTTAAATTTCTATAACAGAAAAATAATTTCTTGTCATATTTATGCTGTTCCTTATCCCTTTGCAAATTTCAAGAGCAATGGATATAGCTTCCTTGCCTTTAACCTCAGATAGGACTTTATTTCAAAAAATTTTGCTCACATTTTTAAGGCTTTACAATTGGTTTGTCAAACTCAGAAAAATTCAACTATAGCATTTTAGTAATATCATGCCATTGTTTATGGGGTTTTTGTTTTTAGTGTTGCGGAAATTGAACTATTGACTTGTTGACATAGTAAGGATAGTCTGATTTGAAATATTCATACGTTAGCTGATTTACAATATATTCAGCATCAGAAAAGACTGTTTTAGGGTTTAACAATGAAAAGGCAGGTACTCTAAAAATGTGTCCCTCCCACATACTCATCTGCATAGAATCAGTGGAAAACATGTGGGCAGCCTGGACTTTCACTCTTATCAGTAGTAACAAGATGCACAATTCATTTGTGCTGGGTTGTTATCAGAGATAGCCTGGTGGAAATCCATGAGTTTCACACAGCGGTTCTCAACCTGTGGGTCGCGAACAATGAAAATACATCCTACTTACCAGATATTTATGTTACGATTCATAACAGTAGCAAAATTACAGTTATGAAGTAGCAACAAAAATAATTTTATGGTTGGGGGTCACCACAACATGAGGAACTGTATTAAAGGGTCGTGGCATTAGGAAGGTTGAGAACCACTGGAGAAGCCATCCCCACACCACTCCCTGCCATGGTGACAGTGGAAACCATGTAGGGAGCAGTAAGGAGGCATCTTTCCAGACAGGTTGGGATCAGTGAAGGCCTAATGGTAAGATTGAACTTCCACCCGACTCAGTAGTAATGAGAAACCCTTCCACCATTCCACCAGCCCTTCATATACACAGAGGCTGAGAAGGAAATCTGGAATTCTACCCCCACCAGGTTGTAAGGCATCACTCCACTTACCCCATCAGAGTGGTGTCAGAGAAGACTTAGTAGTAAGTCTTCAGCTTTAGTAAAACAGGAGATTTAAATAAAATCTATAATCGTATAACACAATACCCTACAAGTTTAGATTTCTGTAGAAAAATCACATATGATACCAAGAACCAGAAGGACATCAACTTAAATGAGATGAGACAAGCAATAGCTACCAGGTGACACAGATGTTAGACTTTATCTGATTAAGATTTTAAAGCAACTATCATCCACGTGCTTCAGTGAGCAATTGTGAACATACTTCATACATAAAAAAGTAGAAGGTCTCAGCAAAAATATAACAGAAGTTTTGAAGAAGAACCTATGGGAAATTTGAGAATTGAAAAATAGATAACTGAAATTAGAAAAAAAACTCAACAGAAGGTGGAATGGATAGAAGACAGAATCACTGAATTTGGAGATAGAATAGAAATTACCTACTCTATACAGAAGAGAGGAAAAATTAAATAAAATGAACAGAGCCTCAGGCACCTATGGGACTATAACAAAAGATCTTGTATTTGTGTTACTGAAAACCCAGGGCAGCTGGAAATATCTCAATTTGTCAAAATACATAAACCTACAGATTCAAGAAGCTGAAGGAACTATAAACAGGATAAACTAAAAGAAATTCACATCAATTGAACTAAAACTGGTTCAGAAAACTAAATATAAAAAAAAATTCTTGAAAGCAGTGAGAAAAAAACACCTTAACTATAGGGGGAAAGTAATTAAAATTACAGCAGCTTTCTCATCAGAAACCCAAGGAAGTGCTACAGTTGTTTTAAGTGGTCAAAAAGTGCCAATCCAGAATTATATAGTCAATGAAAGTACCCTTTGGTATCAACAGAAAATCAAGACATTCTCAAATGAAGGAAGACTAATGAAAACTTTACCAGCACATCTACCCTAAAAGATTGGCCAAAGTAAGTTATTTAACAGAAATAAATGATAAAATGAATATTGAGACATGAGAAAGGAGGAAAAAAAGCAGGAAGAGTAAAAATATGACTAAATGCAATAGACTTTCTCCTCTGAGTTTTCAAAATTATGCTTGACAATTGAAGTAAAAATTTTTAACAATTTCTGATGTTCTCAATGTATACAGAGAAATAGCTGCACTAATAAAAGACAAAGATGCTAATTGACCATACCTTCACTACACCCAAGCCATGCCCACCAGCCTATCAGAGCGACTATATGCAAATTAACCCAACCAAGATGGCGGCTGGCAGCCACGGAGCTGGAGTAAGCCCGAGGCTTGGTTGCCCCGGCGATGGAGGAAGCCAAGTTTCCCACCTGGCCTGGCCAGCTGTAGCCTCCGCAAAAGGCAACAAAGTTTCAATTATAGAAGCTAAATAAATCTCAGATACCTGCTTCCAGCCAGCCTTCACTGGGAGCTTGGGTGGCTGGGGGCTGTGACCAGCCTGCAAACAGCCATCAGCCCCTCACCCAGGCTGGCCACACCCGTATAGGCTAAGGGTCTCCGCTGGGGGGCTTGGCCCACCTGCAGACAGCCATCAGCCCCTCACCCAGGCTGGCCAGGCACCCCAGCAGGACCCCCACCCTGATCTGGGACACCCTTCAGGGCAAAACAGCCAACCCCCACCCATGCACCAGGCCTCTATCCTATATAATAAAAGGGTAATATGCAAATTGACCCTAACAGCAGAGAGACTGGGAATCACTGGTTACTATGACACACACTGACCACCAGTGGGCAGACGCTCAATGCAGGAGCTGCCCCCTGGTGGTCAGTGTGCTCCCACAGGGGAAGCTCTGCTCAGCCACAAGCAAGGCTGATGGCTGCCAATACAGCGGTGGTGGTGGGAGCCTCTCCCGCCTCCTCATCAGCACTAAGGATATCCGACTGCAGCTAAGCCTGCTCCCCGCTGGCAAGTGGACATCCCCCGAGGGCTCCTGGGCTGCCAGAGTGATGTCTGATTGCCAGCTTAGGCCAAATCCCCCAGGGAGCAGGCCTAAGCCAGCAGGTGGTCATCCCCTGAGGGGTCCCAGACTGCGAGAGGGCACAGGCTGGGCTGAGGGACCCTCCCAAATGCACACATTTTTGTGCACCGGGCCTCTAGTTTAAGATAATAAATAAAGAGGTTCAGGGATATAAATGGACATGAGGGTTATATACTTCACTTGATAGATAAAACATACATATTGTGGGTTGTGATAAGTAATGTGTATATGATGTAATGTGAAAACCACCACTTAAAAAACTATACATAAAGTGATACATTCAAAACTGCTTAAATAAATCAAAATGGAATTATTAAGAAAGTTCCAATAACTGATATGAAGTCATGCAAAATAAAATAGAGAAATATAACACAGAGAACAAACAGGAAACAAAACAAAAAATAATGGCAGAATTAATTTCTAATCAATTATATTAAATGTAAATAGTCTAAACACACTAATTGAAAAACAGATTTGCAAAGTGGATTAAAAACATGGAAGTTTAAGGATTAAAAACATATTATGACTGAAAATATATACAAACATTAATAGAAAGTAGGAGTGCTAAATTAATATATAAAGTACACTTTGTAGCAAATAAAATCACCATGGATAAAGCAGGACATTAATAGAATCATTAGAAGTGTCCATCCAACATTAAGATATAGGTAAGATATATGTGCCAAGAAATAGCATCATAATATATGAAGCAAAATAATAGAATGGAAAGCAGTAATACACAAGTCTTTAATTACAACTGGAGACTTCACTCCTTTCTCAACAATAGATGACACAACTAAAGAGGAAACCAGCAAAGATGTAGATTAACTTAATACATCAATCAACAGGATATAACTGCCATTTATAGACTATTCCATTTGACAGCAAGAGAATACACATTCATTTCAAGTACTTATGGAATATATGCCAAGATAAAACAAACCTCAACAAATTTAAAATAATTTAAATCATAGAGTGTGTTTTTCGACCACAATAGAATCAAATTAATCAGAATGATAACAGGAACATCTCCAACAATTAGAAACTAGACAACATACTTCTAAAGAATTCATGGGTCAAAGAAAGTCTCAAGGAAAACACAAAACAAAACATTGAACCGAATAAAAGTGAAAATGCAACATAGTAACATTTGCGGGTTGTAGCCAAAACAATGCTGCTGAGTTAATGGAATCATTCAAGGTTCACAGGCAGATAAGGGTTGTAGCCAAAACAATGCTGCTATCTGAGTTAATGGAATCATTCAAGGTTCACAGGCAGATAGATCACATATCAGTGAAATAGGATTTTGAGTATTTATTTACTTAGGCTCAGTCTTCCCACTGTTTCAGTAATGTCATCGAATGTTTGAAAGGCCTAAAATAATCCATTGATTCTGCCCTTTGTTTTGGTCCTGTTGAGAATTCAGCATCATTAAAAGAATAGAGATCCTTGCTATTTCTCTGTACTATAGTGGTTCTCAACCATTTCTTGTGTCTCAGGTGGTGGTGGTGTTTTTATGATTTGATAAAGGTACCTCCGAAATTCTCATTCCCTCTCAAGCTCTCTCTCTTCACACACACATACACATATATACACCCACACTTGCATGAATACACATGCACATGTATACACATATATAAACACAGTTTTGCATTTAGTTTCAGGTGTTTCAGAGCTCCCCTGAATTGCAGGTTTAGTATTTCTGCAGAAAGAAGCTAGAGCTTTTGTTGTTGAACATTATATGCTCCCCACTTGTATCATTATTAACAGCATTGTATCTTCCTTACGGTGCTAATTGCAGAGCCTGAGCAGCAGAGAGACCAGCTTTCTCCTCAGTGAAGCAGTATTGGTAAGCAATGATCAGTACTATACTTTATCTTTTTAAATTAAATTTATTGGGGTGACATTGGTTATAAGATTATATAGGTTTCAAGTGTTGATTTATTTTTTTTAAATAAAGGAATTTTTAAATTGGTTTTAGAAAGAGGGAAGGAGGGAGGGAGGAAGGGAGAGAGAGAGTGAGTGAGAGAGAGAACGCTCGAGAGAGCCCTCCTAGCCTCTTCCCCTCTGACAGCTAGCTGTCAGTCTGGTCTCTGTATCTATTAGTCTGTTTCAATTTTGTTTGTTTATTTTGTTCATTAGATTCCATATATAAGTGAAATCATGTGGTACTTGTCTTTCTCTGACTAGCTTATTTCACTTAACCTAATACTCTCCAGGTCCCTCCATGATATTTGAAATCTTTTCTTTAATCCTGGGCAGGATTTGTTAACTCTCTGTCGATTGCTTCACAGCCTGCAAAGAGATACAATTTGTTCCTGAGGCGACGTCTTATGGTAAAAGCAGTGCTGAATGCTGCTGCTTATGCTTGGATAGCTGCAGTGATAGTCTAAGTCATTTTTATCCCAAAGAATAGTATTGATTTTGGAGTAGGGGGGGGTCTTTGTTACTGATTTCCTCTTCCCCGGGCAATTGAAGTTTTAGAATGGTGACTATTAATTTTCTTTTATCTGATTAAAGCTATGGGACCTCTTCCTAAAAATGTGTATGTATATCATATATATATATGTATCATATATATATATGTGTGTGTGTATATATGTACACACATATATATGTACATACATATAATTTACATACTATTTCAGAACCCCCATCAGGAATCCAAGTCTCTGAAGTTCAGAATAATTACCTAATTCAAAGAAAAGGCCCCAGATTTATAAAAGGCTCATTACATATAGGCATTTCTAAGAGCAAATCAAATATAAACACAAACTCGTCACATACTGCAAAATATCTTAATGTCATGTCTTGGGCAAAACAAAACAATGATGGGTTTTAATAGTATCTGGTTATATATTAAAAATTATCAGGTTTTTCTGCCCCAGTGGCTTCAACTAGTTTTTGTTAACAGTGCTGACACATACCTCATGGTGATTTACAAGGCTACAAGTGATTTTTCCTTAATTTAAAAATGTTTACAGTTTAGTAAGGGCACAACATAATGACAGAAGTTTGGGTTTTCCATGTAGCCTTTGGCTTTCGTAGAAGGGAAGTATATATACCCATTTTGCCTGAACCCTCAGGAAAATAATTGGAGTCACTATTCTTGTAGCTACTTGTTTATTTCTTAATAGTCAAATACTCTGTGATTTTTATTGATTTCTATGTGCACATTTTCTGTTCCCAGAACTGTCCATGGACCTAAATTTAGCTTGTCCAAACAGTAAGAGCACTTTTAAATATATGTTGTTTCCTTTTATAAAATACCATGCAAAATAGCTGTCACAGATTTATAGCAAAAGGATTATTGTTTTTCCCCTCTATTTTCTGTTTTGATTATATTTATCCTAATCAATTATTTTGGCCCCAGTTAGCTTTCATGAGTTCCAGTGAATTTCATGTTAATACTATGATGATTTACAAAAGAGCTCAAATGGTTTATTTTGTTTACTTTTACTTTTTTAGTGATTTATAATCAGTATATAAGATAACAGTTTGAGTTTTCTCAGGTTTTTTTTTTTTACTTTCTTTTAGGAAAAGGGAGATGATTATGTAATTCTTTTGGAGCATAGAGAACTCAGACATAATATTTGAGTTACTATATTTTGATATTTAATCTTTAGACTCCCTAAATATTTTTGTTTCTTAATCTATTTTTCCACTCATTTCCTTCTATACATTGGAAACTACTTATTTTGCAGACGCATCAACTATGTGTTCATATAGATAAAATGCAGTTACTCTGCTCATGAAACAGATCATACATGAGATTTTTGTCTTATTTATACATGACTGATCTACACTCATTCTTTTATATGGGAGGATTGCCTGGCCTGACTTGACTGGAAAAGAGCATAGAGCACCATAAAAGAAACTCACAAACTGATATAAACACCAGTTATGAAAATTTTAAAAATCTAGTTCTTCATTCACAGGTTAGATACAAGAAAGTTGTCTATATTATAACTTTGCATCACAGAGTTAGAGAGATCACTGACATCCACTGCCTATCTGGTTGTATCATTCTAAGTATTATATGGGGCTATTCCAAGAAATACATATAAACCAAGAAGAGAATCAGTCAGATATGAAGTTCCTTCTTTCTAAATCTCTCTAGTGTCCTTGTGGTTTTGAAAGGGAAGGCACTAATGAACTATACAGCATATGAAAGTTGAATTTGAAAGTTTGATTATTATACCTAGAGAATCAATAACACAAATTTAAACAAAGGATTGATTTTGGCTCACCTAAGAAATTAATGTTGAAAGATTTGCATGAGACTTGTAGTGAAGCCAGCCGCAAGCTACCAGCTTCCTAATTTTTTACTGCACTTTGATTTTATTTGAACCCTTTTATGAAATCATAGGATAGGCAATTTTATGAAATCATAATATAGTGAGATTCATTAACTAACCCTAAAGTAGTGTGTGACCATTAATTATTTGTTGAACTAATTGGCATGTTGTTTAATGAAGATAGCAAGTCTCTCTCTGAATATGCATTTTGGGATCAGTGTATACATATATTCATTCTATTTTGGATATAATTTCATCATTTTTGTTGTGTATGCTTGTTAATGTACTCAGTTTCATCTGGAATCCTTATTGTTTAATAAACATCTCCTTTATGAAACTTCATTTTCTAAAATAAGCATAATTTTATGTTGATGAAAACTGGTTGCTTGTCTTTAACTGTCATTTTAGGACTGAAAAAAATTAGATGGTGACCCAATTTTAGCTGATTAAGGATATCATGTTTTTGCCATTTGAAAATAAAACTGTTCTGTTATTCATGTCTCTTCCAGTTTGATAAAGATAAACAAAGCAAAGACTCCATCTTCTTCCGAGATGGGATTAGGCGAATCGATTTTGTGCTTTCCTATGTTGATGAAGTAAAGAAAGAAGCCGAACTAAAGATGGTAAGTACTTATGTGAAAGAAATGATAATAAGAGAAAGAAGCACATTCTGTAATTGGACAGGTATGTTCCCAATGAATTATACTGCAAAACTCAGAGGCCTCTGAAGTGTTACCGAAAGCTGAACCTGGTTAAGAGGACTACAAAATAGGCAGCCTAAGAATGAATGAATGTGTAAGATCAGTTCTATTTTTTGGACATTTTATAGAATAACTTCTTTTTCCTCTTCAAAATTACTTCTATTTTTATATAGTTTAGCTTAAATGTTAATTGTTACCTCTAAAATTTGAGTTATATGTCTAAACATAATGTATATTTTTGTATGCAACTTTTGTTTCAATTTTCATTAATCCACTCTATCTGAAATCTCCTTTAGATTATGCTCTGTTCCTTATCTTATTTTCTTTCCATTATAACATGTCCCTTTCTGTACTTATTTTTTTTTACTTAATTGCTGTGTCAAACACCATAAATTAAGTTCATAACACCAAGGACTTTGTCTTGTTCATTGCTATATGCCCAAATGCCTGGGACAGTGGTTGGAGCATAATGGATGCTCAATAAATATTAGGTCCTTAATACTGTCTGGCAGTCATGCTTTACTTGTTTATTCTATTTTTCTCTCTACTTTCCTTGATGACTGTTTTTCAACTTTTTCTCTCTCCTCTCACCTCCAATTCCTCATCCCCATTTTCAAGCTTAGCTGACCATACTTTTCTATTTCACTGGGAAAACTAAAGTAAGTAGAAGAGAAATTCTAAATTTCCATTCACATCTGTCCATTCACCAGCATCTTCACCTGCATAATCTACTATTCTTCCTGTTATCATAGAAAAACTATTATTCTGCCTACAGCCAACACCTCCACTTGTACCCTGGATCCCATTTCTTCTTGCCTACTATTCCGGAGTCACCAATACTACCCCCAGGTTTGGTCATTCATTAGAAGGATACACATGCACTGTATATAGTCATACGCAATGGCCATGTTTTATTGGACTGAAATAATAGAAATAATGCATGAGGCAAAGTCCAGAGGAAAACAGGTGCAAGCTCACAAGATTTTTCTTTCATTGGAGTGGTACAGAATGCACTTAATTCCTCGGGTGAATTGTTGTCTACTAGGGATTTTCATTAAAAACTAAGTGCCCTAGGATATTATTGGGGGCTGGTCACCTTCTCACCTTCTGCCTAGCACACACTAACATGTCATAGTCCCAGATGGAAAGCAAATGATTAGCATAAACGGCATTGTTTGTATAAACAGTTAAGGTAAATTGAGCAACTTTTATCACTTCTGGGAGTTGTGGGAACCCTCCTGAAAGCCAAGTTCCCAGACCTGAGCGCCACTCCTGTAGGCAGGCCTTTCTAAGAATAGCACTTTCAAGCCTGTAATACTAACTTCTCCATATGCCTGCTTAGGGATATTGCTCTTACAAGTCTTTCTTCTCTCTTTTAAATTATATTTTGTGTTGTTCTTTACTGGGCTATTTTTTTTTAACAAACACATCTGCTGTTAATTCTTCTATATTAAAAAAAAAGCAAGAACAAATACTATCACTTGATCTCAATAAAAATAAATAAATAAAATATCACCACTTGGTCTAAATAAAAACAAAATAAAATGTTATTTTAAAAAAGTAAACTCATGATAAATGCATCAGTTAACAAGATGGGCAGCAGGGCTTTAAAAAATATTTTCTTGTTCATAGTTGAATGAGAATTATTCCTAGAATGAGATGGTTCAGCTTTGAATATAGTCCTCTTTTGTTTTTATATATGGTTAGTGTGAATTAAGCTTGTCTAGATAAATAAATAGATTGGAATAAAAAGATGATTGCTCTAGCAATTTTAATCTTTTTTTGAAATCCTGAATTATACAAAGTGATTCATCATAAAAGTAGTGTTTAATGGTCTATGAACTAACAATCCTATTTCCTCGAACTCAGAGAAGCAGTGACTATATGACTTACAAAAGCAATTGTTATTACAATGAGAAGGATTATTCACTTTTTCAATACTGATACAATATTTTTAAGACTTTTAAAAATATTTTTTTATTTATTTAGAGAGGAAAGGAAAGGAGAGAGAGAGAGAGAGAGAGAGAGATATGAATCAGCTGCTTCCCACAAACACGCTGACCAGGACTCGAGCCCACAACCTGGGCATGTGCCTTGACCAGGAATCCAACTGGCAACATTTCAGTGTGGGACATTGCTCAGCCAATTGAGCCACACTGTCCATGGCATGATACAATACATTTAATGTCTCTCTCCTTTTTTTGTTTCCTGTTTGTCCTTTTCTGGTAACATAGGAGAAGGGCAACTATGAAAGGGTAGCTGAGAAAGGAACCTTGCATCATTATCACAGGCCTGTTCTGAGATGTAGTGAACATATAGTAAACATTGGAAGAGGAGGGAAAGGACATATTAAAATAACTTTTCCTGGTCCAGTGTGGCTCAGTAATTGAGTGTTGACCTAGGAACCAAAAGGTCAGGGATCGATTCCCAGTCAGGGCTCATGCCCAGGTTGTGGGCTTGATCCCCAGTGTGGGGCCTGACGGAGGAAGCTGATCAATGATTCTCTCTCATCATTGATGTTTTTATCTCTCTCTTCCTCTTCCTCTCTCTGAAATCAATAAAAATACTTTTTAAAAATCCTATATAATAAAGAGGTAATGTGCAAATTGACCCTCATGCCATAATGCCATCACAAGATGGGTGCCCTGCCCAGCCCCTCCCCAGGTCCCACCCCTGATCAGCCTCTCCCACCCCAATTGAGGGTGGGGTGGCTAGCCAACCCCCTCACCCCCCATGGCCCCTCACCTAGGCCAGCCATGCCCCCACGCTTTCCCAGGGCTTGGGGTACCCCAGGCAGGCTGCAGGCACAACATTGGTCAGAGGCAAAGGTCCTGGCTGTCCCTGGCCTAGAGAGTTCAGAAAACCTCAGCAGTGACCAAAGACCAAGACCTAGTGGAAAGGTCCCTGCCGGCGCTTATGGCTCAAAGTGCCAGGAGGAGGCAGAGCGTCTTGAACCTGCAACCCTGGCATCTGCACACCAAGCCTTGGGGCACACCATGCCGGTGGAGCCTGTCGGTGAAAGGGGGAGAGCAGGGAGCTGGGATGTGGAGCTGGGAGAGGCCTAGAGTCTTCGGGAGCAGCCTACCTGCCAAGGTTGCTGTGACCTGCTCTTGGGCTTGGTCAAAGTCCCTGGTCAGCTCTGTCACTTGCCTTCCAGGTGTAGCTAGCCCTGAGCCAGCTGGCTGGCACTGCACTCAGAGAAGCAGCTGTCACTGGGCTCCATTAAATAAGAGAAATCAAAGAGCCGGGAGTAAATATCCTCCCAGCCCCTTCCCATGCCCCTGGGCGAGGAGAGCTGGGGATGGAGGTAATGGAAAATGGCTGCTGCTTTGCATTTTATAATGAAAAGACTCCTGCTATGTAGAGACATTTCCAGCGACACCGGGCATGTTCCCTGCCCCAGCCCTGAAGCCTGACAGCACCTAGCAAAGGTGTGTCCACACAGTCATGTTGGCCTGGCTCCTGGAACATTGGGAGCAAGTTTGAGCTGCACTGATTAAAAAAAAAAGTAAAGATTGAAAAACACCTCTTTGTACTCAAATGGCACTATAAAATGCAGATTAGAGCATCTGATTTTGTCTTCTGTGTTGGTTTTGAGGCAGAGCACAAATAGGTTCATTGGAAAAGCAGAAAAAAAATCAAAGGGAAAGGGAGAGGATTCTGATTCTGCCGTCCACAGCACTGAACTGTTTTATGTGGGTGTTTTTTTTTGTTATTTTTCCTTCTGTTCTTCAAGTCAGTATATGTCATTTAAACCACTTTATGACATTAGGTAATGAGCTAATGCTTCCTCTATTAAGAGCAAGCAGCAGTGCCTTTCATATGAGTCACATACATTTAATCCATTCAAATAGAGCATACTGAGTGGAGAGAATGGTATGTGTCATTATATAAAGAACTTGGCAGTAGGATGCTATCTGGCTGAAGATCTTATTTATTTTGCAATTTGGAGAATGCAGACAAATCAGGCATTGAAAATGAATGTGCATGCTTAAATTCATGACTTTATTTTCATTTGTAATGACCACGACTGGTCACCAGGAGGTGCATTAATGGGTCTCGCAGCGCAGCGGGTCTGGATGAGGCTGCCTGTAATGACCACGACTGGTCACCAGGAGGTGCATTGATGGGTCTCGCAGCGCAGCGGGTCTGGATGAGGCTGCATGGTGTGGGCCAGGGCCAGGAGACCTGAGACTGCATCCCCCGCCCAGCAGGGCTTGACAGGGGTGGGGCTGGCCAGGTCTTGGTGTTGCCCAATGGGGGTGAGGCCAGCCGGACACTTCTATTATAGAGAAAGGGCAAATAGCAATATTAAAATATTTTCTCTAATTAATTCCCTTTTAATGTGTATGAATTTTGTGCACCAGGCCACTAGTAAATATATAAAAGAATCTTTTACTCCTTGTAAAAGATTACATCTCAAGGTATCCATTTGAAGATGAGTGTCCTCTAACATCCTAGCAAAGCCTTTTAAAATTTCCATTATTATGAAATTTTTCACAATGAAATCATAATTAAAACCAAAAGTTTTTTCAGCAATTAGTGCATAGTTTTGAAGCCCACAAGTAGTGATTATTTGCATTTAATTTAATTTTACTTTTTCTAAGTGAACCTGTTGTATTCTTTAAGACTAAAACATCATGATGATATTTTGGTTTAAAATTGTCTTATGTATCTCATTTATTTGAAGGGTACTGATAGCTTTGTAATACTGTGTTTTCCTAACTAGGAGCATAATCTGTTTCTCTATTTTTTGTTCTTATTTAGTAAAGTTTTGTGCATTTTTTTTCAGATCAAGATCCTGCACTCTTCCTGGAGATTATCCTTAGATATATTGGAATTTATGAGTTAAAGTCCTGGTGAAAAGCAGCACATGACATTGAGATGGGGATTCTACATAGAGTACTTTTAAATGAAACCATAGGAGGGGCAATGGACCCTCAGAGGCATCTTCATTATGTAACAAGTCTATCATGGTGTAAATGGAAATGTTCTGCATAATTCTGTTGATTCATTTTTCCATAGGAAAGAAGAAAAATGTTTGAAGAAAACCTCAGAAAAACAGGTCTTGAATTGGAAATTGAAGACAAAAGGGTAAAGTAGTTAATTTATACCAGAACCTTGGTGTTAAAATGTTCTTTTCTTCTACTCTGGCCTTTGACTAGATAAACCTTGTCTTGGGAGCAATACATTAGTTTTTCTTTTTTGGCTACAAATGTGTACACTGGAAATGGTAATACCTGTGATTGTTCAGGTAAGTTGGTTTTTGCTCTGTGAGATGATGAGTGGAACACTTGACAAATAGATGTAAATAATTCTGTTTAGGATATGAAGAAAGTGAAGACATGGTTTTTGTTTTATATCTTTCTCATTGTGAAAGCTGCCTATAATCCGGCATCCGATCTAGTTAGCCTGGCTAATTTGTAGCTGATATTTAAGCCAAGGAACGTTTCTGCTCATGAATATGACACAATTTTTTTTCTAACCCACTACTATTTTTCTAGAATTTCCTTCAAAATTATTTTTAAGCCATATTTAAGTTTCTATTCTGTCTATGAAACTCTAATACTCTTTAGTTCTAAATTAACACTCGTTAGTTCTTATCTATCTCTGTTTTTACTGAACTAATAAATATGTATTATACCACACACTCTATAACTAAAATATAACCATTCTTCTGTTTAATGAACCCTTATTTTCTAAAGTACTTCCTCTAGGTCAGGGTTTGGGATTTGGTGTGGCCCTGCCAAGGCATTAGGGGTGAGTTAATTAAATGTTTGATCAAATATAGCAGGTTAATTTTAAGTTGATTATTTTGTATGGCCCTTGAGTGATGTTATAAATATCCAAATGGCCTTTTGCAGGAAAAATAGTGTAGGCTATACATGCTCTAAGTTTGGGCTATACATAGAAGTTAGGGAAAAAGAGTGACTGCATCTTATACTTCCTAAGTGTTCCACATATACCCTAAGCACAATTCTGAGCACATGGCTAGTTGCTAAATCAATACTTAAGAGATTGCCCAGAACACATATGTATCTGTGGATTTCAGGCTAGTATACATTGACACTGAAATATGTATTTTAAAATATTCTTTCTTTACCTCTCTCTCTCTCTCTCTCTCTCTCTCTCTCTCTCTCTCTCTCTCTCTCTTTCTCTCTCTCTCTCT